AAATATTGAAGCTGGTTAAAAAAAAAAAGCTACAGCAGCTGTGCTGAATTATATTCTTAGTTACAACACTCATGATGGGACTTCTGCAAGAATAGCCACTGGCTAGGGGCCTTTGATGAGCAGTTTCAATGCTCTGGAGCTGAAGTGGTATTTTCAAGTCAAAGAGAGCAGTCAATCATCAATGAAGTGCTTAAGGAATCATCAATAAGCATTCACATTCTCATAATTCATCAAGTCCCTATTAAGGGGAATTGGATTCTAAACAGAAATTACTTTATTATCAAACCAGATGTCTACCCATTCATACATAAGAATTGCAAAATACCTATGAATCACATTGAATATATATTTATTAAATGCTCAAATATATGATTTATATTACTGGTTCTTTTTGAAATTGAAGAAATTTTAAATACTATAAATTACATTGTAGGCCAAGAACTATTTTATACATGGAGACCCTTTAATAAAGGGAGGAGATTTAAATGCTTCTGGCAAAGTTACAAAAAATTATCAAATCAGAGTTTCCCACATATGTGATAGGGAAGGACAACCAAAACCCATGCTGCCCTGGCACAGTGTGCTCGGGACTTAAATTCCTGATTACACATTCTAATGTGATTTTGTTTGAGCTTGCCTTTGTTTAATGTCAGCAAACTTAACTTTTATGTTTTTATATAAATATTGAAAAATATTGCTGAAATTTTAAAGTAAATGCAAAAGAAGATTTCTTTATAAAGACTTATTAAAATAGCTAGTTAATAAATGGCAGAATAATCCAAGTGTTTGGTCCTGGAACAAAGCTCATCATTACAGATCATTTATTTTTTTCTTTTTTCTTCAATTCTACAGGGTTCGCTAGGGAGGAGAAGCAAGAATAAAAGTGTTACAGGCTCCAGGGCCTAGGCTGACTCAGAGATTTTGGAATTGCTCCTGGTTTAGTTATTCATCATAGTGGGATCTCCTAAGAGGTCAGGTGACTTGGACCAAGTCCTAAGAGGCACTCTGATGGGAGAATGTTAACCTGGAATTTGGAGTAGCCATGGATCCCTGGTGGAGGAAGGTGCCTGTGTTATTTCTTTGTTGAAAAGTTTCTAAGCCTTTTTAGACTAGAAACTTGATTTATTTGATTCTAAAAGTACTCAGTGGGGTTAACATCTGCTAAAGTGGTCATTAGGTTATGGAAAGATGAAATATTTGGTGATTTGGCCACAGGATAAGTAATACTAAATGTTAAGGTAGCACCTGCCTTTGTTATCCCAGCCACTTTACTCAGGAGGCTGAGGCAGGATGATTAAAAGTTTTGAGGCCAGCCTAGACAACGTAATGTTTTATCCTGGCTCAAAATTTAAAAAAGTAATAAAAAGGACTGGGCTCAGTGATAGAGTGCCCATGGGTCCCATTTCTTGTACTGAAAACAAATTTTTTTTTTTGTCACAGTATGGCCATATTAAAAAACGATATAAGGTATATTTTGCCTTCGTTCTTTTTTTAAAATTCAGTTTAACAAGTTTTTTTCAATCCCTCATTAGACTTAAAAATTCAGTTTTTCCTGAATGAAGGAGAAAATCTCAAAAGGATGATCCTTGCTTATTGAATCCACTGAGATGGAAGTTTTCAGAGATTTTTCATAAAGTTGATAAAGCACTGAAAAAATGAAATGGATTATACATCTTGATTTCCTTAGTGATTGATATTATTTGAAGAAATAAATAACTTGAAAACAATTTTCTGGTCCTCTTTTTTCCAATGGACCCAATGTGAATTGTAGCAATGGAATTAAATAAATAAGTTCTCTGAGAAGGATTTTCAGTACAAGGAAAGACACAGCTTCAATTCTAGAATATGATTTCTGGAACTACCACTTTCTATGTACCCATCCTTCAGCAAGTAAAATTTGGTTAAACAGTCATTCCCTGATTAAAATTCTTACCAATTATAGAAAAATTATAAAATACATAAAAATAAGCAAAAACTTAAAATGTATATTGTCACTCATAGTCATTATCCTTTCATTATAGTTTCACCTAAGAGTTTTATCTGTGCAAATTTCATTTTTATTTTACGAAATTAGAATCATGCTAGATACACAATAATGTATCTGTTTATATACTCCATATTACTTCATGAACATTCTTCTGATATGTACTTAAAATTATTCAGTAACTGAGCAAATTTTGAAATTTTTCATTCTAGTTGATCTGTATAAAGAAGATAATGAGATCTACCTTAGGTAGATATTATAAAGTTTCACTGAAATTAAGTATAGAAATTATCTATTCCAATGACTGGCAGATGATGCCATATTGATTCTTTATTTATGATTCAAACCCAGGAAAGGAGGGCTATATAAACTCAGGAATAATAATAAATGTATTATCCACCATCTAATCTATTGCTCACTTTAGAACAAATGCTTTTTATATACAAGAATAAATGTACCACTTCTAAAAGTGATTAGAATGGAATACATATGATCCCAAATCTCATATATTGTCTAACTGAATACAAGGTGCTCCCTCTTTTTTCAGTAGCTATCTATGGTGTTTTAAAAAGTTTGTTTCCACCCACAACTTGAAAACATAAACAGATTTCTACTTATAAAATTTACTTTCCTAATTGATTTATTAGGTGTACAAAGTACACATTGATAAAAATAGAGGTTAAAAATATTGTATATATATATTTGGTTTTGGGTACCAGGAATTTAACCCAGGGGTGTTTAGCCACTGAGCCATATCCCCAGCTCTTTTTTATTTTTTTAATTAGAGACAGGGTCTCACTAAGTTGCTTAGGGCCTCTTGAATTGCTGAGGTGGGCTTTGAACTCGAGATACTCTGCTTCAGACTCTGAAGCCACTGGGTTTACAGACAACGGTTCTACCATGCCGGCAAGAAATATTGCTTTGTGTACTCTTACATTTTGTTAAAAATTTTGTTCAGGCTTAATCTGTATTGAAAAAATCTATCACGCCAGACATGGTGGTACATGCCTGTAACCCCAAGGATATGGGGAACCTGAGGCAGGAATATCAGAAGTTCCTAAACCTCAGCAATTTATCAATGGGACTCTAAACAACTTAGTGAGAACTTGTCTCAAAATAAGAAATTTTAACAAAAATAACTGGGAATGTAGCTCTATGGTTAAGAATCCCTGTGTTCAATCCCCAATACCAAAAAAAAAAACCAACTATCACTCAGGAGAGTTCTAAATCAACTCATGTGTTAGTGTCCATTTGAAACCCCTGAACCCCTGAATGATATCACTGGGTATTATCACCTCACAAAGCAAAAGGAAAGCATTTTTTCCATTCATTATTATTCTATAAAGGTGTGAAGTCAATATAAACTGCAGAGATCTTAGTCCCAAGTAATAATTGCCAAATTCATGTTAATTTTTTTTTTACTTTTTCTTTTCCTGTTACCAGTGCTATCTCCAAAAATAGCATCAACTGAGGTTCATTGTAGGCTGATATTTTGTCCTTGAAGGGTACCTCTTCCTAAAGGTACAAAGACAGTACCCTATTATAGCCTGACTTATTCCCCTTTCTAACCAAAAGGCAACCACAGTAATGGAATAGTTTGGGAAAAGAAAGCTTCATATTGTGTTCCAGCACCTTCAGTATGTTTAAATTCAGCATGTCGGCATCTCTGTAACAGAGCCAGGATTTGCAAACCTGTTCTCCATCCTTTGTGCCTTATTTGAGCTAGACATTACAAATCTTGAAAACCCTGGGAACAAAAGAGAAACATGTTATATACACAAACCATGGATCATATATTTAAACAATCTATTACCAATATCTATTTGAGAAAATCTAAAATAAAATACACAAGTAGAGTCAGATCATTCAATAAAAATAGGTCAAAAGCACTAAGGATAAGAAAAAAGTCCTGTGATTGTCTGGCAACAAGTACAGAGACTTTATGGTCAAAGTAGAAGAAAAATGTAGTGGAATATATGCTTTTTAATAACTGATAAAAGTAGCACACTTAATTTTTAAATATGATGCTTTTTCCCATTATAAAATTAGAAAAGAATTTCAATGGGCAAGCCCTTTCCAAAGGAAGCCACATGTAGTGAGGACATCACTTTCAACCTCCACTTGGGGAACTGAGGGAAGGATCATTAAACTCATTGCATCCCAGCCCTGCATTGGTGCTGTGGGTCTCATAACATTTCATGTGATGCACACATAGGGTCTCTCAGCACATAGGTCAGGCAGATAGCACACAGAGACCTAAGATGGCTTTGAGGACCAGGCTTCTTGTCATTTCTCTGGTCATTCTGCCTCAACAGCCCAAGCCAGCAGTTGTAACATATACTCTGGCACAAAATGATCAAAAAAGTTGAGGCTGAACACTCTAGACAAAGCTTAGAATTCACACGTGTGGGGCTGCTGGTTGGGAAAAGAGCTATTATTTTGGACAGCAGAAGTGAAGTGTTTCCACTCACCAACTGCACCTGTTGGTTTGAGCTAGGGCTTCCTTTGTTTGCTGAAAAGGGGAGGATAAGACAGATAAGAGCCTGATAAAGCTTGCTAGTGTAAAAGGAACATTTCCTATGATGATGGCTTTGAGAATTCCTGACATATTTGAACAGAAGACAGAGGAATCAACTCTTCCTCCTTAATCACCATGGATCTAATTGCAACCCCCAACTTTGATGGGTAAGGCCAAAGCTTAGTCCTGTGAAATTAATTGTCATGTTGAAGCCCATAGACATAGATGTAGCAGCAAGTTTCTAATTATAACAGTGATAATGATGATAACAATCTGCTGTGTTCCTATAATATTTCTATAATATTTTAATCAAATTGTTGATTTTAGTCTCACTTCATTTCTGGTTTAAATTGACTGACACCACTGTCGTCGTCGTTTTAAGATAAATGTAACGTCAAAACCCTTAAAGTTAATTGATTTGCTTAGCCATGGAACTTGCTGAGTGAAATTAACCAGAACCAGAACCCTATTCTCTTAAAAATTCTAGGCCATCATGTTGCCACTAGAATTTGAAGAACTCAAAGAAGCCAAATTCATCTAATGTTTTTGATGAGGGTTCTGTCACTGTGGAACAACTTTGAGAAAGTCTTCGGTAGTGGAACCAAACTTGTTGTCACAGGTGAGTATCTTAAGAGTCCATTTCCAAAGAGATAGAAGGAAGGCAAGAAATGATCCTCTTGGAAAAATAGTAAGATTGTTTAGAAAAAAAGAGGAATGTGAGGGGAAATCGATGTAGCAATCTTAGGAGAGATTTTAACCAAATGCTATACTAAAGGAAAAGAGACAACATTGCGCAGATAATGTAATAACAGCATTTGGCTTTGTGTACATGTGAACTTCTACAAAGTGCTCATGTAAAACTGTATAATGATATGAAAGTGTTTGACACTGGAACAAAGTTCCTTCTTGTAGATAAGATGGTGATAGACTCAATGGGGGCACACATTCCCTATTCTCTGGTGAAATGTGTTCTGGAAGTCTGAGCTTTGAAGGCAAGCAGACTTGAACCTCCAGCTCCCTTGCTTACAGTTTAGTAAATTTGGACAATTATTCTTTGGCGTTAATTTCCCGATTCATAAGATAGGAAAATAATATGAACCTAGCAAAGTTATGTGATAATCAAATGAGATGATGTGAATAAAATTCTTGGCACAGTACTCAATACAAAATAGAACCCCCATTACTATTCTTCAAATTTAAATGTAAAGAAAGAATCATCTTCACTACAGAACGTTGCTTTCAAATAATAACAGTTATTACAGATCAGAAATTTTCCAGAAGATTCAGCAATATTTCTAATGGCTCAAATATAGTTTACCTTAACATTCACTCATAAAAAAATTGAATCTGAATTTTCCATCACTTGGCAATAATAATTAAACTGAAATGTGCATGTTTTATAAAGATTTAAAAAGTTTTAGTTACTGATAGACCTTTATTTTATTTATTTATATGCAGTGCTGAGAATCGAACCCAGTGTCTCACATATGCCAGTCAATGACACTACCCTGAGCCACAGTCCCAGCCCAAAATGTGCATTTTTAAAAAGTGATTCTACATACTTTGAATCTTATTTCTTTATCTTAATTAGTAACACCTCTAACATCAATATGAATGGTCTCAAAATTTTGACAAACAATAATATTATTATTATTATCCCACCAATTTTTATCAGAAAAGAACTTTGGATTCATACAGAAAATGGCAACACTATAAATCATTTAAATATAGTTGGAAAATTGTCATAAATCTGAAATAAATATTTAAATATGAAGTAAGTAGTGTTATTTGATCAAGGAAAAATAGACAAGCTTTAAATAAGTTCTCATATGTAGATTTGGAAAATACTTTTAATAGACAAGCAGTTGATATTTGGCAAATTTATATGAAATTTGTATGAGTGCATCTTAAAATACAAGCTTAGGTATTTAATTCAAAATGCACTCGTTTATGAGACAAATGAGCATACATAAATTAATCAAACAGCTTTATTTATTAATTTAAATAAGATGTATGGATAGCCATTTTGTTTATTATTCAAATAAAACAGAGTGGCTACTATTTGCCATATTATAAAAATTTTGATCATGATAAATATCTTCTTGCCGGGGGCAGTGGTGTAGGTCTATAATCCCACTGGCTTGGAAGGCTGAGACAGGAGGTTCATGAGTTCAAAGCCAGCCTCAGCAAAAGTGTGGTGTTAAGCAACTTAGTAAAACCCTGTCTCTAAATAAAACACAAAAAATTGGTCTGGGGATGTGGCTCACTGCTTGAGTGTCCCTGAGTTCAATCCCTGGTACCCACACTCCAAAAAGAATCTTAATATATAATTTTTTAAAGTAATGCTTTCAAAACCATGTAGCATTCAGAATGTAAGTTCTAACTCTATATAATCAAGTATACTTTGTAATACTTAGTTCATTATCACCTTGAGGTAGTTCAAGACACATTCTGTACTCAAAAGTATGAAATTTAAACTACCTAAGGAAAAGATACAACAGGTAATACAGATGGGGTATTGTATAGGAATTTTTCCAATTCATCATTTGATTTTTAATTGCTTTATTATAATGAATCAGAAATATTCCATCAAAAAATATATCTTCTAAGATGAAAATTAGATTTATTAATACATTATTTTACTAAAATTACAAAATTTACAATTGAAAAATTAATCACCTTTTATAACATACCTTTGAAACTACAAATAAAGTATACAGTTGGATAAAAATGCAGTGTTTACTATTTACACTAAAATAAAGATGCACAAAATTAAAATCAACACATTATGCCCCTCATGTATTTATAACACATCAGGAATATTAACATTATATGCTTACTGATTTTGTATACAAGTTAGGAACTTTGCTACAACCCACACAGAAATCATCAAGAACTTTTGTTCTTTTCTTCTCAAATCTGAAACCTGATTCTTTTTTTTCCTTAATAAATCACCTGTTGAATTATTATACTAAATTCAAATTAGTCCTAAGAGAATATTTGCAAGGCATCTGAGTTTCAACTTGCAATCAAATTGAAATAATTCCATCATTTATAACAAGGAATTGTGTTAAAAAATAAATGTAAAACCAGTTAACATTCAAGATACACAAGGTACGGGATTATAAATAAATCTCAATTTGTTGTATATTTTTACATTATGTCTGCAAGAAACTCTTGAAACTATAACTTTTAACATTACATCAATTACATATACATTTTATTTTATTTAGTAGGTTAAGATGAAGAGACGGATTGAATTACAAAGGAGAGATGTAGGAGACTGCACTAATGCAAATTTTGGGAGAGTCACTGAGAGTCAAACACAAATATAATGATAGGTATATTCCCTCACCCTAATGAAATAAGTACAAAAAATACACCCTTGGTGTATCTTAGTGACACTTGAACTTCAAATGATATTCCCAGATAAAATATTTTTGATGAACATTTTCTATTGATAAGCACATTGTTTGGCAAAATTAATACAAGAACATTTCTGAAAATAATCAATACAAATTTAAATAGTTTGCTGTGGAAATGTTGATATTTTGTGTCTAAATTCAAAACACTGAATAATTTGGAGGTGCAGCTTTAAATATTGCCCAACCCAAAGTCCTACATTAAAACAAATGTTAAAGCAAAATGTTAAATAAAGTTAGAAACTTCAGGAGCTTCAAAAGTAGGAATGCATCTGCATTTGAAGCCAAAAGACCAACCTGACAGATTACAGGTACACATGGAAGTAGAGGCCTATTAAAACAAGTAACAGTGTATTGTTACAAAGAAAAATGAAAAGCTGCCTCCTAGCATTTATTTTTATGAGAAATAAGATAAATAGGATGAATTCTAGAATTAGGTAAATGAAGGACTGGTTTGCAGAGTTGCAGAGCAGGAGACAGTGAGTCACATGTCCAGAGAGCAGAAGTGACAAAGGATGGACAAGGGAAGTACTTTAGAAGGGCCCACAGAGCCTCATCTAGAAAGATCACTAAAAAGGTCTGGTTGTCTTCTGCTCCTCTTCATGCATCTTGACAACACATACTCTACTAGGAGAAAACTAAGGAGATGTAAACAAAAAGTTAATGGGTTCAAGAATGTTGGAAGCCTCCTTCAGGAATGATTAAAAGTCACACCTCTCTTAGCATGTGGAAAAAAGAACAAAAGTCAAGCTTCCTTCTAGATCTTCCACTTCATAGCTGTGTCTTTGGGCTAGTTACTTAACCTCTTGAACCTTTTTGCACATCTATAAAATAAGGACTATGATAAGCTCCTTGCAACCTATGGAGAATAAAAGGCCATGGTGGGCACTAATTCAATGGTAACTTGTCTTCCTATTGATATGTGTTAGGTTATTCCAAACCAAGAAATGTTTGTAACTGCCTAATAACCTTTTAAAATCTATTTTCCATTTCCTCCACAGATAAAAGCTTTAATGCAGACATTTACCCCAAGCCCACGATTTTTCTTCCTTCGGTTGCTGAAACAAATCTCCATAATGCTGGGACATATCTTTGTCTTCTGGAGAACTTTTTCCCTGATGTTATTAAGGTATATTGGAAAGAAAAAGGAGGTGATAGGATTCTGGAATCCTTTCAGGGAAATACCATGAAGACTAACAACAGATACATGAAGATGAGTTGGCTAACCGTGACTGGAGAGTCAATGGATAAAGAGCACAGGTGTATTGTCAAACACGAGAATAATAAAAGAGGAGTTGATCAAGAGATTCTCTTTCCTGCAATAAGGAAAGGTATGTTCATTTAAATGTAAACATAAATTTCCAGAAAAAAAATTGAAAGGGAATACCACATCTTTCCTACCAAGCATTAATGAAATCAAGTCTAAATCTTTCTTAAATATAATAACGTTTAATGACAGAGTATATATCCTGTGATTTTCCCCGTAGAAATGAAATGGTACATAATTTGGAGAAAACTCTGAAAAATTTATTTCAGCTTTCTCAGCCTCAGTTCAATATTTACAGTATTAAAACTACAGGATGTGTTTTATAATTTTTATGTGGACTATATGAAATAAGACACATTAAAGTATCTAGCAGCTCAATACTTGTAAAATATTAAAAAGAAGTTTCTACTTTTGATGATTTTACCTGATTTAGAAATCAAAATGATTATGTATATTTCAGGAATGTTCTATGAAGCAAGTAAAGTTGCCCACTTCAATCTTGCTACTCACAGGTTAACTTACAATGAGTTCTTAATTGAAAAAAAATATGCTCAGACAAAAAAGCAGGAGCATGGCCCAACAACACCCAAAGATTTGGAATAATCTTGGCCACTGAAGTTTTATGTTAGCTTTAAATATTTCTGATTTTTATTTTATATATCACTGTTAGAAAGAATTTCATAATTTATGTTTCAATGAGCCTAACGTGTATGAAGATACTCCATTTTTCCATGACTAATTTCTCCTTCCATTAGTAAATGTAGCTACATAAACATTTCCTGTTCTATTTGCATATGCCAGGCCTGAGTTGGAATGTGGATGAATATTCTAGAATTAGTGCTGCCAGTAGGACGTATTGCAGTCAAGAGAGAATCCTTTTTCCCTGTCACTTAGGACCACATAGGACTCAGGCTTGATGTCCCAAAGGAATCCTTTGGGTGCAGTGAGGTACATATCCAACACAGATAGGCAGAAGCTTGAATGTGCAGAGGCCTTGCAGTGGTCCAGTGACTCACTGCATATTCACAGTCCTGAGTGTTAAACAGCAGTCCAAATGGCCTAGTGGGCATGGGAAGCAATCTCTTTGTAATTTTCCCTGTGGCTTCAAGCCCCTATTGTGCCAGCGAGAAACTGGCAAGTGGCAAACGGGGTGAAGAGCTTTGCCATAGTCCATCCCAGTTTCCCAAGTAAGCCTTCAGTCGCTGGGACCCTAACGTTCTGCAATCACTACTGAAGTCTGAACAGTTGCCTGGTTTTCCCTGGAGCTATGACAAAGATCAAGTGAAATGCTGTTAGGAAAAAATCGTTTTCTTAAAAAGATAGAGCATGGATTCAGATATTTCTATATTTATTGTACTTACATCCTTTCCTAAAATCAACTAAACAGGAATACAAAACCAACCTCAATTTTCTGTTTTCCATGATGAGAAACAGAGGGGAGGCACATAGGCAAACACAAGGTTAACTTAACCACTGTGCATAAGTGTCCAATTAGGTTCAGGCTTTTCTAGTGATCAGAGAAAATTAAAAAGAATATTAAGTTCCATGGTGATGAATCTCGTGTAGGAGAGAGGTTCCAGTTTAATAATAGTTTAATAGGCACTGATGTCTAAAACAAATGTTTCTCATGGGCTTCTCTGGCCCCAGAGCTGAGGAGGAAGCTTTTGTCAATGTCATCTTTTCCAAAGCTGCTTTTTGAAGGTTCGTTTGTTTGTTTGTTTATTTTTTGGTTTTGTTGGTTTGTCTTGGTTTGTTTTGTTTTCGTTTGGTAAAAGCTGAAAAATAGCACATGGAAATGAATTAATGAAGTGATTATTTTGAAGGGAGATAAAATGGTATTTCCATGTTTACAACAAACTTTGACAGAACTTAGAAAGCACATAGATTTTATTACTTAGGGACTGTACTTTCTTCTCTTTACCTCAAATGATTCCTGGTAATAATGATTTTCATTTATCTTTTAGTGAATATATCACTCTAAGAAAAGAGATCCACCTTTTTTTCATTTTTTTTATTATTGTAGATAGACACAATACCTTTATTCTATTAGTTAATTTTTTATGCAGTGGTGAGGGTTAAACCCAGTACCTCACACATACTAGGCAAGCACTCTACCATTGAATCACAACCACAGCCCCTAAGAGATACACTGTTTTGCTCCATTAAAGTCAGTTTTTAATGATATTTTCAATTCAAATATTACCATACTGATATTTTATTTCTAGGAACTTATCCCTAAGGCCTATACCTCGACTCCATTTTTAAAATACACACAAAAATAAGTCAATGTTCAATAATATTGTAGAGTGTAAGTATATTCATATAGACAAGAACATGTCTATTAGAAAAAGAACCAATCAAAACAACCATTGTCTACATACACACACACACTCACATGCTTTAAAATAATGGGCGTGAATAATTGAGTGATATTTGTTCTTATTGCTTTTAGTTGTCACCACTATGAATCCCAGAGAAGCCGATTTGAAAGTTACAACTGGTGAGTTTTAGTGTGTGTTTGCCTTCACCTCATTTGATATCATTTTCCCTCATCTGGTCATCTTAACTTCTGAACTTCCTCACTTATGACAGAGAAATCAGGATATCTGGTTGTTCCAGAATGGACTGAGTGTCACTTTAAGTTGTCCTTTGTTTCCTTGGCATCATATTAACACAGTAAACTACTGATGTTGGGATGAGATGACTGTAAATAAGAGCCATAGGCTCTGAAGCATTTCAACAAAGGGACTTCATTCATTCATTTGTCTACTGTGTGTAATGACTGGGGAAAGAGTAATAGCAGATAACTCTAGTTTTGTTTCCTAACTGTGGATAAATACTAGTGTCACTCTGAGTTTTATTCCAAGAACTAAAAATGTGATTTGGCCTATGTTTCTATCTATCCCCAGAGAGAATGGCACTGAAATGCTCAGCACCTATTTTTTTAAAGGCATTTTCTAAGAATAACCAAGGTTCTAGAGGATTTTCTTAGTGTCCAGAGTGGTGGAATTGTATTGTTTCTATATAAATTATTTTCTCTGTATTTATATGCAAAGTAATTTCCACATTTTGTTTAAAATTCCCCTCGATATCTTCAGATATTTACTCAGCAATTCACTGATAGGACTCTTGGTTAGTTATATAAACTCTTCAAATTTTATCTCCTCATTCATGACATGAGACTCTCAATAATGCAACTCAGCCATGTGTAGTACTGTGTGCTTGCAATCCTAGTGACTCATAAGGCTGAGGAAAGATAATTGAAAATCAAGACCAGCCTTCAGCAAATTAGTGAAACTTGACTTAGAATAAAATTTTAAAAGTACTAAGGATAGAGCTCAGTGATAAGGCAACCCTGAGTTTAATCCCCAGTAACCGCCCCTGCCACAGTACAACTCACTTAAGTGTGACTGAGGATTTAAACAAGATAATTCATGTGAAGCATTTAACACAGTGCTGGCAAACAGGGATCACTCAATGTATGTGAACTTTAATTAATATTGATATCCTCAAGCCTACAAACACCAAACCTTCAGGAAATTGTGTGCAAGAACCAGGAATATTAGGGATATGCATGATTTAGAAAAGTACTAAGCAGAGGAAATTTCTCTAAATGAGACTCCTTCAAATGTGCATGGTTCTGTCATTGACTCTAAGATTGGACAGATTCATTTTAGGTGTAACATCATATTAGGAGTGTGAGCAGGAACCTGAAAAGCAGCTAATTCTGTTTATTTCCCCACTGACGTATTTGTGCCTACTTGTGAGGAGCTGTGAGTAAAGAGGAAAATCAGACAGTCTTGGATATTACAATCCAGTTATGATAAAAAAGGAAAAAAGATTCTTTTATGAATTTCAATATCTTTGTGTGCAGAAAAATATTATATGAGTGATAGCTGCTCAATTATCTGGAATCAGACTATTTTTGGAACTGTGGGACTCAGTTTTAATGATTATGTCTTCTATGCTTCCAGAGATGAGTGTATATTTATTTATGTGCATATAAATATGTGTATGTGTACACATACATAAACTTTCAAATAAATACGTGTATGTGTATACATACATAAACTTTCAAATAATAGACAAGAATACTTGATTCATTCTTGCTCTTTTCTTCTAGCTGTCACCACTATTAATGCCAGAAAAGCTGATCTGAAATGTGAAAATGGTAGGTTTTAGCATGTTTGCCTTCGTATCTTGTTATACAATATTCCTCCTCTTGAGCATCTTACTTTTTGAACTTCCCTCGTGTAAGTTAGAGAAATCAGAATGATTATATGTGTCAGAATAGACCAAGTGACATTTTAATTAATCCATCATTTCCTAGGAGTCATGATAGATAAATGCAGCTCTCACCTTAGGTTTGTTCAGAAAATTAGGAATGTAAAAATTCCTATCTTGTGTCATTAGAAAGACTTGCACTGAAATGCTGAGTCTATGGTTAAAAAAAGAGAGAGAGAGAAAAAAAGAGAAAAGGATATGTGCTAAGAATAATTAAGATACCTGATGATTTTCTGCTAACCATTTATAATTAATTCCTCATTCATAAAATGGTTACCATCCATAATTGAACTCACTTATGTGTCACTGGAGATATAAACAGTGTAGAACATTTAGCAGTGCTTGGCACAGCAATGGTCGCTCATAGATATTAAGTTTTGGTTGACTCTCTCTCCAGTGTTGATAATGGACATTGGATAACTGGACATGGATAATTGACTTCTACTTGCTCTTATTTCTTCTAGTTGTCAATACTACTGAATCTGAAGCTTATTCAAAAGGTAAAATCATAATTTTTAGTGTGTGTTTTCCTTTATCTCATGCTATAGCTTTTCCCACTCCTGATCATTCTAACTTTTGAACTTCCTTCATTTAATGTAGAAAAATCAGAATGGCTGGATTTTGCAGAAAAGACTGGGTATTTATTTAATCTATCGCTTCCTAGGCATTATACTATCATAGTAAACAATGTGTTTTCATATGAGACAACTATAAATGAGAACATGCAGTGGTATGTGCTGAACTATTTTAGCAGACTTCATTCATTCATGTTTTTTTCTCCTAGAAATTAGGGAAAGCATGGTAGACAGCGAGTTTTAGATTTTTTAATTATCAATTGATTTTTAGTATTTTGTTAGTCATTAATAACATGAACTGGGATTTATGAAGTCCAGTTCATACAGAAGGCCATAGGATGTGTTCAGCATGTATTCCCTTGATTAATCCTCATAAAATTCCAATAATGTGGTACATATTTTTCTATCATTTTACAGATGAGGGCAATAAATTAAGTCCCTTGCACATGCCACACAGCTATATCAAGTGTTCAACTCATGCCATCAAATAGTGTTCATACCCTTATACACTTCCCCATTCTTCCTCTAAGAGTCACAAAGCAAGAAATTCCAAAGTCAAGACTCTGAGACGCCATGGACATATATGTTTGGGTGGGAAGATGCATGGGCTTTGGAGTACCACAGACTAGACTCTATTCCCATTTTGTATAGGCTACTATACAGATTAAATAAGACTAAAATTTTACGTGTAAATTAATTCTTAACATACTCTGTGTCATTTGATTAATGGTTAATGAATATTATATATTATTTGTACTTAGAGACAGGTTGGGGCAAAGAAATTCTAACATCTAGTTATCACACATACTTTTGTTCCCCATAGACACATCCATTAAACATGGATTCTTTTAAATATTAGGAAGGTTCTAAGTAAGTAAGGAAAATATTGGTAATCAACTTGACTTACAATCTGAACCTTGCTCTTGGTGGTTTGGGTGGGAGTGGTAGATGTTGACCTTTGGGGTTTGGTGGGGGTGGTGTCAATTCAGTGTAGGTCACCAAAAATAAACATCTGTGGAAACTTCCCCCATGAAGGGTTCTATCATGTCAAAAGAACAAGTGAAACTAATTACCTGACTTCTCTTAGATGCACTGAGGCTGCAGCTCACAAACACCTCTGTCTACTGGACCTACCTCCTCTTACTCCTCAAGAGTGTGGTCTACTTGGCCTTCGTCACCTTCAGTCTGCTAAGAAAAACAACTGTCGGTAGAAATGGGAAGAGTACCTAACAAATGGTGGCACAACGGAGTTGTGTTGTGTTCTTGGTTTATTGTCCTGAAGAGTGTCTGCCGAGGACCTGGCTAGGTTTGCTTGCTGGGTTACAGCTCCTTGGGTTCTCACTAATATAATTCTGTCACTATTGCAGTAAGGGTTTCTCTAACTAGTGGGCAAATGGAGCAACTGCACTCTGTAACAACAAGTAGCACTTAGTGGCACCTAGTCCCTGTGTTTCTAGTCCCCATCAGCCCCTCCAGCCAGCCCAAATCATCTCAACCTTCGTGGGGCCAATGGACAGCTTTTAGACACAACCCTTAGTGCCCTTTAACCAGAGACCACCTTAAAGCCTTCCATTCCACACATCCTGAAATTGCCTTCTTTGCTACTTGAATTCTGTTCTTTATTTTTCATAATAAACACAACAGTCTACTTTGGGCCATGTGGACTTTAATTTGATGGAAATAAATTGAAAATTCAAAGTGACAAGCAGCATGACAACTGAATCATGACTTCAAGCCATGGTTATTAACGAGGATCCAACACCAATTTTCACTTCTATCCCTGAGATGGGAATTTTAGGGCTTTCCTAGGGGCACTGGCTCCAACAGGAGTCAGAACCAAATGGAGAGTCACATTACTGCTCTTTTAAAGGTAACAGATTGACATTCATTTTGTTTAAGACATCCCCATGAAAATAGGAAAACATGACTTGCACTATGTGTGTCCAGCTCTGTACCAGCATTTCACAAGCACTGTTTCCTGGTCCTCACAATACCAATGTAAATATTGCACTAAACCCCAAGAGGCAGTGAGACAGAGGAGTTGAGGATATGGATGAAGGACCCAGATAGCTTGGGTTTCAATCCTGGGTCTGGAATTTAGTGTCTGGGTGACCTCAGAGACTTGCAATCTCTGTGCCATAATTTCTTCCTATAAAAGGAAGTTAGAAAATCCTGTGTCATAGAATTGTATGGGTCACATGAGTTAGTAATGCTTGGTTCAGGCAAGTCATCCATAGCATTTGTATGTGTTGAACTCCAGAAATAGTTAATAACACATTTATATACCAGCAAAGCACCAAGGATGATCTGTTCTCAATTTTCTGCAGAGGATGGGTGGAATAGAGCAGGGACTTAGCTACTACTGTGCACCAGGCAATCCATGAATCCTGTAAGAGTCCTTCAATGTAGGCACAATTATGGCCTACAGTCTATAAAGTCACTAGTTTTTTAAGTAATAGTATTGATTTAAAGTCAGGTCCAGTGGAACCTATTTTGTGTGTGTGTATAATTGCCCCAATATCATGTCTTCCTTTTATCCACTATCAATTTGGAGAAACAAAACAAAATTAAACACATGCATTGCGGCTTTACTAAAGGCATCCTACAGTGAGTCAGAGAATTTTCTTAAAGGTTTGTGAGTACATCTGTTTTCTCTTCATATACATACGAATTTCCAATTTGTCTTTCCTCTTTAGATAAAATTGTGACCTACTCTGTAATCACCATAATTTGTCCGCTAGCCATAGATAGAAGCTCTGCCTTCCTTTTTTGAGACTGTGTGTCCTCTTGTTGGGAAGTAGGCTGAGCTTCATGTACAAGAGGACCCTTAATGGTTCTCTCTGGACATGGATAGTATTGTGATATTCTAGCTCCTTCAGTAGAATTACTGGGCCCTAATGTCCTCACAATCACCTTGAGGAACATTCTAAGGAATCAAAGAAGAAGGTAGGTTATGCAACCTTCTTGGTCCAATCTTTTCCCCCACAGCACAACTGCCCCTTATAGAGAAGTCCCATGGCCTGATGGAAGGAATCCTGGACCAAAAATCACATTTCATAGCCAGTTAGAGCCCTGGCTGCTCAGTATGGCTCTAACTAGCTATACTATTTGCTCTTTTTATTTAAAATGACACATAAAACATATTTATGGAAATACATGATGGTTTAATGCATGTATACATTGTGTAAGTTCAAATAAGGATAAGCATATCTATCCCCTTGTACATGTATCATTTTTAGTCATAAAACCATTCAAAATCATTTTTCTTTACTCTGTGAAATATATAGCACATTATTATTATAGTTTATTCTCACACTATGTTTAATCCATCCTTAGAAGAATGTGTTAAGATTGAAGATTACAGTTTCAAATTCAGTGATTGACATCCCAATGAAGTAATAATACCAACTGCTTTATAATGCTTACTATGTACCAGGTGCTGGATTAACTACATGTCCCCTCATTTAATTCTCACAAACAGCCTAGGAGATATGTACAACTAACTGTTTTACACAAAGGGTAACTGAGGTGGCAATGGCTGAGGAACTTCCCATAGCTATAGAGGGAATAATCAAAAAGGCTGGCACTTGAAGTTAAGCAGCCTGGCTTCAGGAGCCCTGCCCTCAAGTTACCCTTTAGAAAATTCTGTATCCTCATTACCTTCCTGTATTTCCTCTCCAGGCTGCTGTGCTATTATTTTTATTAAAGGGCTAGAGGCCAACTGCCACGTAATTTTTCATGCTGAGAAGGCTTTTTACACACTGATCTCTCATCCACCAATAGGCCTTCTATGATTCAAGTCCATGGCACATAGCTGGATGAAATACAGACTAGAACAGCAGGTTGCATCCACAGGTGTTTGATGAAAACTTGAGGCTCAGGTTTATACAATTCCAAATGAAGACAGTCATGTCTCTAATAGTCACTGTAGGGCTAGAGTAATCCATACATTTCCCAAGTATAAGAAAAAATGATGAATAAAAGTTCATATGTTCTTTTTTAATAATTAGTTTTTAGTTGTAGTGGACACAATAACTTTATTTTATTTATTTTTTTATGTGGTGCCAAGGATTGAACCCAGAACCTTGCACGTTAGGCAAGCCCCCTCTACCACTGAGTCACAACCCCAGCCCCTCATATGTTCTTAATTATTTTACAAAAGAGAAATTTTCCAGGCAACAATTCTCAAAACTTTAAGACTTGCCCCTGTGTTTTGTTTTGTTTTTTTTAACCAAGAAATAAACTCAGGGGCACTTAACCACTGAGCCACGTTCCTAGTCCTTTTGTATTTTTTATTTAGAGACAAGGCCTCACTGATTTGCTTAGCACCTCACTAAGTTGCTGAGGTTGGCTTTGAACTTGCAATCCTCCTGCATCAGCCTCCAGAGCCACTGGGATCACAGGCATGCGCCACTGCGCTTGGCCCCTGTTATGTATTCTCTTTGATGATCTGGAATTATTTTCTTCATAGACTTCATTATTTGAAGTCTTTTTGTCTAGAAAATGGGCCAAATTAACAATAGCTGAATTTCTCCATTCTGTTCCTCAAAGTCCTATATAATTGCCAACCAGAAAATTAGAGGACTAAGACATAAACTGATAAAAGGCAAGATGATACACAATTCACCTGAAAGGCTATAAACTCAACATTCTTATGAACCATGAACACTTACATAACTGAATGCATGATTTCCATCATCTTCTGTTAGGCTATTTGTTTGCTGTTTGATTTCTTTGAATTAATAGGAAATACCTACCATGTAGTGAGTATCAGGAATTTTGCAGGGAGGTCCACCTTCTCTCCAATGTCTCAACTGCACCACCATACAGACATTATGTCCATTTCACTACATCAAGCCAGATTTCAGAGACCCCAGGTTAATCACACAGTAACCCGAATATTAAATATGAGCAGAGATAACCCGTAAGCCACAGTATTAAATATTCCCGTGTTGAACACTGAATAAGCCCTAGAGTCCACATGATTCCAAGTCTTACTGGACATCTGTTGCTCTGTCCATTCTACCTATGGGTCTCTCTGTCTTCGTAGGAGCCCTTGAGAGTCACTGGGACATAGACCTTATCACAGGCCGGGTATAGGAACTTATAAACAATTGTTCGGTGATCCTAATGTACAGCCTGGGTTGAGACCAGCAAGTGACTTAAACAACTCCAGAACTCCAACATGGCTGTCGCAGATGCAAGCCACAAATGGTCATCATCCTAGAGAGAGCACAGCACCCATATAAGGAACATGATTCATCAGGAAATTGTTTACACTATTTGATTCATCAGTTATCAAAGGAAACAAAATATATATGCTAAAATTATACGCAAGGATGTTCCTTCAGTATAGCACTACATACACTAGCCTCAAATTAACACAAATGTCCAATAAGAAATTAATCAAGGACGTCAAATGACAGACAAATACACATCTTCACAAATGCAAATTCCTTTAAAGCAATGGAAAATAATCAGGATGTTAGATATTACAATATAATATTGTAATAGGATAAACTTACTGAAATCATTATATAATACATTCACATGGTTCAAACCCCCAAATATTTTACTTTAAATTCCTGTGAATAGGAATATATATAAACATATATATGGGTGTATATTCCCATTATGCTTTCCTACATATAGTATATATTATTCTGCACTTTTTCATTTATAAATTTGAGATCTCATTTTATGTATATATATTTAGAGAGCCAGAGGTATTTCCCTGGTGAACATAAATTACATAACATCAGTTTCCTCTTATAGGCCCTTGGTTTATTTATTGCTACTATGAATCACCAGTTTTATGTCCATCTGATTGTGTGCCCTGCCAACCTGCCCTCCACAGACAGCCCCACACGGCTTGCCTATCCCCATGTACATGAATTTGTGAGTATACTGTCAAACATCAGGACTTTGTTAACCTGATAGGTGAAAAATAGAATCTCACTGAGGTTTTAATTACTGTTTTCTTTCTCATTATGAGTGAAGATAAACATCTTTTCGTTTAACATGTATTTATGTAACTTTGCAAAGTTCTGGTCCTCTGATCATTTTTACTACTGAGTAATAATACTAAGAAATATGATACTTGTTTGCTCTGTGTGTCTGCATTTCTGTAGGAAATGATACAAATATTAAATGTACGGTAGGTGATTGAAAAATAGTGTATATTTTTCTATATTAATGAAACCTTTTAAAGTTAGAAAAGTTTAAAAGTTTGAATTTTAAAAATGTCTTATCTTTTTTAATATTGGAAATGTTTTGCTCATTTACAATCACCTTTATTTTCTGTGAGGCACATTCTTTGGAAAATAAGCAGAGATTCCTATTATGAAACAAAATAAGAGGAACCAGACTCAAAAAGATTTAGATCAATTCCTTGATGCACCTGCTTTGACCATGGCTCCTTCAGCCAAATACTCCTCCCCCTGTTCAGAGATTCGGAACCCTCCCTGCCCTGGGAAAGCAGACACAAAGGCAGGAATATTTGAGATCACTGAGAGCTTTGTGGGCTGACATAACTGGTTGGACACTAAGCAGCCGCCTCTGTGGTTTCCAACCTGAAACCCTTTCCTCCCCCATGCAGTCCTGAATTTGAACAGTACAGAAAGGGAGAGCTCTGGTGGTGGGGGACACAGAGTGGATGGGGGATGGGTGCTGGTGTGGCTGATGCAGTTTTTAGTTTCTGAGGTTTCTTTTGTTTCTATGCTCTGTCAAATGTGGTTGATTCAGGGAAAAGGCTTAAAGTCAAACCAACCCTACTTGTTTGTGTATCAAGAGGTGGCTGAGGTGTTGGAAGAGAAGTTGGGGGCAGTTAAACCACAACCAACTTTGCTCTGTTTCAGAAGTCTACAGCTAGTTGGAAGAGGTATCTAAGTTCACATGGTGAGACTAAGATGGGACCTGCTCTCCCTGCTGTGATCCAGGGACAAAGGAAGTGCCTCAGCTGCCCAAGCACTGGGAATCTGATGGCAGGATTTCTCAGACACTGCATCTTCTGTCCATTCTGTCACTGTCCTGAAGAATGGAGAAGAGGTCATATGCAGCCCCAGGGTAGCTCCCAACATTCCACCCAGTGTCTGTGCTTTTCCCAAGTACTTGATTTATGGATGCTGGTTGGTACCTTTCAGTTTACTTTCTTGGTGTAGAGAGTGACACAAGACCAGTGTACATGAAGCTGTTGGCAAAGATACACAAAGATGAGGGCAGTGGCAATATGCTTCAAGAACTCAGAGATACAGAACCATGGAGTTCAACTGTATAACTGAAAGTCATATGCTGAACAATGTGAAGCCCATTTACAAGGACAGGATGACTTCAGAGTCAACCTAAGCAAGGCTCAACAGAGGACATTAACCTGAAATGAAAAGGTGATTGAGGTCAGACAGAAGAGTGTTGTTCAGCAATGTGAACATAAAAAGAAAATGCTTCCACCCGCACCCTACCTACCAGAATGGCTCCCCAGGACCCTAGTTTCATCTGTCCACTCCCAAGGGGAAATATAACTATTTCTGAGATAATTGCTTTAAGCTCTCAGTCTGACTTCATGCCATATTGCAATTATTCCATCATTCTTCTTGTTCTATGCTCAAACCATATTATGAGTGAGAATTATTTTCCTAAAATGATTGGCAGCCTAGCACCCTACTTCCTCAAATGATCTCATTTGGGGAAGTACTCTTCCTGTAGATAAATTTAAATACCTGATGTCCTGCTTGGGCCTTATCTCTGGGTTTGGTATATATACAACTCCACTTCTGAGAAAGGAAACTGACACTGAGATAACTTTATTGAGTTCCTTATGTATCAGTCTCTAGAACAGACTCTGGGGACTTTCCTGGCTCTTCTCCACAATAAGAAGCTCCTTGTGGTCAGATGCCAGCCTTTGAGTCAACCTCCAATTCACACTGCTGAGATGTGACCCACACTTAGAACAAGCACCACAGCAGGGAGGCTTGGAGCTGCACAAATCATAAGGTTCCACCTAAATCAACATCATCACCATTATATACAATTTCTTGAATGGCACCATGAAGGATGGAAAACTAACAGGTATACTAACTCTCTTGAAGCAGTTAGGGGAATATTCATGTTTGAAAAATAACTCACGATATAATTTAGTTCATTTTAATTCAAAATAGCAAAAACACAAAGGAAAAATGATAACAATGGTTTCTTAGTCCTTTTATGGACACTTCAGAATTATATCTCAGAGAAAGATATAAATTTATAATAAAAATAATAAAATATATGGTACCATTTTACATGTATTCACAATCCCTCCTTGTCCTCTTTCTTTATTCCAACACTTTAGGGTAAAGACATTAGTAAACCAAGAAAATACAACTAATCATTTTGATATGCTGGATTTTATTACTTTTAAAAATTGTACAAAGAGCACATGTGCATGAGTTAAAAAAACACAAGGGAAATGTAGGGTGTTAATAAATGAAATACAAAAGAAATCTGAGACATGAAACAAACAAAAAATTTCATCCTATGAATTAAAATAAAAGGTATTTCACTTACTAGAAAGTGTTATTTCAACATATTAAGAAGTCTTTTGATTAGGATACAGCACACACACAACTTTCCTTCAATTATTCATTGACAAGTCAGACTCAGTCTCACTGAACAGAGGAATAATCATGACATGACCTGGCCAGCCAGAGGCAGGAGACTGAATGTGTGTGGATGTGGGAAAATGTCCGTGAGGTATCACCATAAATAAAAGTTTACTAGCTGTTCAACAAAGTCAGCAGTGGATGTCGCCATTTCAACTATCAATAGGGAGACCCCATCTCCATCTTCTTCCCTCGGATGACTTCAGTGAGGGTTTTCTTCACACTTAGGAAAAGAGTGAAGACAAACAGGTTGAGGTATGGTGTTAAGAGGCAAAATTCTGCACTGCCTCTTATCTTCCTAACAGGGTCTATATCGAAGACAAACTGTGATAAAGGCACATAAAGGACATGGCTGTGGCCATACCTGAAGTTATTTTAAAGCATTTCAGAAAATGTTCAACTATTCCACTATCCACGTATTTGCCTCCTCTTTACCCTGCTGTGTGGAGAGAAGCATCTGTTGTGTGTCAGGTGCCACCAATGCAAGCACTGGTCTCTTCCACCAGGAACCTGGCTGCCTCTGTTGCCCAGACTGCCTCTGTCTGTCTTTACAGGGACTCATATTCTGTCTACTACTTTTTCCTTTTGTGGTGAAATATTTAGGAGGAGGCGCTGATACAACTCACTTGCTATTTATTGGCCTTCTATTTGTGAGGCTGATTTTTTTTTTTTTTGAGGAGCTAAAAGGGTTTAACAATGCGTTCTGCCTCAGAGCTTTCAATTTCCAGCAGTTTTTATCTCAGAAGTCCAAAACTTTTGAGATATCCCACTGCCCAAGTCTGAGCTTGACACTCTCCTTCTAGCTATATGATTTTGGGGAAATTCCTCACCCACTGTTCCCTTACATCTGACACAATGGTAATAACAGTCCCTACATATCACAGGTTGCTCTCCTTGGAACACAAAAAAGTTAATGCTTGAAATTAAAACAATATTTGAAACAAAAAGACACTCTAAGTAAGGAGATGTGAATCTCTCCTTTTTCTTTGGAGATTTAGGACTCTGAGGTATTTTCCATTTTACAAATTTACCCCTATGCAGAAAACATTCAAAAATTTTACATAAGGAAATGTGATTACTGATTTCATGTAAATATAATGAATCTGGCTATATACTTGTACTCATATTCCCTCATATTCCCTCATATTCCCTGGAGTTTACTCATATTCCCTGAAGTTTATTCTGAATCCACTCAAAGAAAATGCATTTTGTGAACCACTCTGCTGAAAGTTTCATTTTGTTTGTTGCATTTTGTGAACCACTCTGCTGAAAGTTTCATTTTCAAACACTTACTTTTTATAAAGTTGAACTCAGAGTTCTAGAAGCGGTTTTTCACTGTCCTGTTTTTCCTCAGCTTCTTCTTCAGATCCTATTTGGTACAGAAGGAAAAAACTGTCTCATTCCATCAAAGAACAGTTTTATTGTAAAAAAGACAAATTCTTAAATGAAAGACTCATTTGTTTAACTCTAGAGAGATTTAGGTTAACAAACTGCTTTCTTTTATTTCTTCCAGGAGGAAAATGAAAATATAATTTATGACTTGCACTAAATTGGCAAAAACAGATTTCACTTATGTGCTAGTGAAATACTCATATGCCAAGAATTGTTATCAATTGCCATTGTTCTTCCACCTGTTTGCACACTACGCTGAGCTTTGGTACAAAAAATTTGATCACTGTACCAGGTGAGTGAGAGAACAGTGTGGGCTCCTGAGGATAAGGGAAGTGCGGCTGTCAGTGATCACTACTAGCTACCTGGTCAGAATCAATATCTCATGAGCCTCAATTACTCATACAATTGACCCAGTCATTCCACTCTGCAACTCTTTCTTTAGGATTGATCCTTGGAGAAATAATACTTACTATTCATTATGTGGATTTTTTTTCTGTAATAACTAGAAAACAAACCTAACTGGCTGAGAATGTCAGAATGGTTAAATAATTATATTTACATGAAATACCTTATATCTATGTAAAATTATGGTTCTTTATAGTTTATGACAACATGTAAAAAGTATGTGCATTAGGCAAATGCAAATATGAAAAATAAATAAATAAAACTTTGTATGCTATACAATTACGTTTGATAAAATTAACATAGGCAAATATAAATGTACAAATGAGAACAAGTAGAAGATAACCACATGACCTTTGCACATTTTAATGAATATTCCAAAATGTCTGTGATAAAATGTAAATGGATTTAATAAATTTTACATTCTAATTTTAAAAGCAGGGTATAAATAACAGAGGCATTGTGAGAAAAAGATGTGACACTACACACAAAACTAGAAAGAAACAAGTTAAACTGTGAGTAGTGATACTGCTATTTGAAGGATCAGTGAGTTCTAGTAGCAGTTTTCAACCTCTGTATAAAAGCATGTATTTCTTTTATGAATAGAAAAAAGAAATAGAAAACTGAGGTGTGGAAAACCAATTCATTAAGTTAGGGATGCAATCTATTACCACATAAAGGTGGTGCCCTGCCTCGGCTGGGCTTTAATCTGTAAGAGGGTACACTGTAAAGAAGACATTTTTTTCTTATGAGAAAATCTGCCTGGATTATACCAAAGAACAAATGTGACTGTGTCTTACATCTTAACCTCATAAATGTCATACAGTTCAAGTGGAAACTGGGGTAAAAGAAATAGATAAAGGTGGAGTAGTAAAAGGCTTTGCATTCCAGCCCATTAAACTGCTGTATATCATGGCGACACAGGGTGGTTTAACTGCCTTCTCATGTTGAAAGGAGTCTCAGGAAGAGGATCAGATAAAGCCTTCCTGTTCCCAGGCTCATTTTCCAACTGCCACGCCAAAAGTATGTAAACCACAATGAGTGGTCCTGTCGTGGTATTACCTGGAAATCCTAAATAAAGCTCCATCCTTAATTAAAATTTAACTACATATATTCTTTACATATTTTAAAAGACCCTCTAGCTATGGTCTAGTGAGGGGGTTCAATACAACCTTTCCATATGAGAAGCACCTATAAAAGTTGGAAAAATGGACAAAACTGAAAGCATTTCACCCTCTGCAAATGATCAAAGGCATATACAACTGGAGACTGGTTTATGTGTGAAAACAGCAGAATTCAGGAATAACAGTGCTGCTCCTTCCTGAGCTTCTCCTGTTCCTCCTCCTATGCCCAACACCCAGCTCAATGGCATGGAGGTTCTGGGGACTGGCAGCAAAGCCATCCAGATGAAAGAAGCTCACTTAGTTTGCGGGTAGAGCCATGCTAGTGGCCAGCAATATGGATGGAAAATCCCAGGAAGCAGGCAGGGCAGCTGCTCTGCTAGTCAGAGGTTGTGGTCATGGTTGGAGCAAGCATACGCTTGGTTGGGTCTTTTCACATGCACAAGGAAAACCCAAGAGAGCTCAAACTAGCCAGATACCTTGAACTATGAGCATCCTCAGAGAACACACAAAGTCTCAGCAAAAACAAAAACCTATGCAAGACCTGAAAATGGCCTGAACTTTGAATGTGACACTCAAACCCTGTGTATTTTCTTCTGGCAGGATGGAAGCATTAATTCAGGTACTTGAGACAGGTACTTAATCCAGCCAGGTACTCTGTAGACACAGGGAACCCATAGAAAGCTTGGTTTTAAAAACAAACCAAGACTTAAAAAAAAAAAGGAAGTAAATTAAAAAAATGAGAAAAGATAGATGTAACCACATTCCCCAGGGAATACAATTTCACGAATAATTTACTAAGCAAATGAACAAATAGAAACAACAACCTTTTGGGAGAAAAATGAGAATCCTGAGTTGCTACAATATATTTTCAACAAATTACTTTTCAATAGAAAATATAAGACATGTAGAGAATTAGGCAAGTATGAACATTCTAAAAAAACTACAAAAACACCAAAGCAAACCATCTCTGAGTGTCTCTAAATACTGTACTTAGCAAAAAAAAAAAAAAAACCAAAGCAATATTAACAAATATGTTCAAACAACAATAGAGAATCAATTTAAATAACTAACAGAAGTAGACCAACAAAGTAGAGGAGGGAGATTTAGATGGGGAGAGGGAAGAGGAGAGGGAATGGGGAGGTAGCGGGGAAAAATATCTATAAAACTATGCTATGTCTATGTACAAATATACCACAATAAATATAGCTTTTGTGTAATTATAATATACTAATTGAAATAATAATAATAAACAGAAGAATTAGTAGAGCAAGTGGTTCAGGGGCAGTGGCAAGGGAAAGAGAAGGTACAGGGGAATAAGAATGATCAAATTATGCTGCTTGCATGTATAAATATGGTGTAATGAATCCCATTATTATTTATAAAAACTCTGAAGTAAAAAAAAACATTAAGTGCAATGATATATTTGTGAATCAAGAAAATATTCAAGACAGCAGAGGAACTGGTATACATGAAGACAGGGCTGGCAGAAATGATCCATTCTGAGACAGAGAGAGCAAAAGACTGAAGAAAAATTAAATACAGTTTAGAGACCTTTGAAATAACATCAAGCATACCAATATATGGGCATTGGGGAGTTCCAGAAGAAGAAAAAAGAAAAAAAATCTAGAAAATATTTAAAGATAATGGCAAAAATTTCCTACATTTCTGAGACATAATAATCTATACATTTAATAAGCTAAAGGAACAGGAATCAGGACATATACAGAGATCCACAAAAATATCACTCTAAACTTGCTGAAAACCAAGGAATACATGAAAATGAACATATGGTATGTCAAAGTTTATGAGATACCAATAAAGCAATGTATACAGGAAAAATGTATGGCTTTAATTGACTATATAAAAAAAGAAAGTTTTCAAGTCAATCAAAAAATAATCTACTTTAAAAGGTAGAAAAAGAAGAATAAGCTAAATTTAATCCAAGAAGATTCAAGGAAATAAAAAAAATTGACTTGGCACATTTATAACCAACAGATTTTTGACAAATGTGCCTAAGTATATGAAAATTAATTCAAAATGTATCATAACTTTAATTAAAAGAAGACACACTACAAAATCTTCTAAACGGAAACACAAGAGAAAAATCTTCACTAAATATTTGAGGTCTTAAATATAGTATCCATTGGAAGGTAATAGAAAAAAGAGAGAGAGAGAGAGAGAGAGAGAGAGAAAGTGTCACAGTAGAATGAGTAGACAATAGGATGGGAGGGGAGGGAGGTAGGATAAGGAGGGCAGCAGAATACAACTGACACTAGGATTGCTGTATGTATACACATAGGTGTATAACCAATGTGATCCTGCAATCTGTACATGTGGAATGAGAATTCATACCCTATTTGAATCAAATGTATGATATGTCAAGATCATTGTATTTTCTTGGACAACTAATAAAAAAACATTAAAAACTTGTGCTTCAAAATACCATATGAAAATGTGAAAAGAAAAACAGTAGACAAACATTTGCAAATCATATATATTTGATAAAGAACTTTTATCTACAATGTAGATACAGCTTAATAGTAAGAAAATAAGTCAAAAAATCTTGAAATACAGATTTCTCCAAAGAAGATACATGATTAATATATAATGGAAAAGATCTCTGTCATTAGAGACATTAAGCTTAACCACATGGGAACTACTTTACCTCTGTTAGACTGGCTACAATAAAAAAGACAGATGATACCAAAGTGTTAGTCATGATATGGAGAAACTGAAATCCATATATGTAGCTGGAAAAAATGTATAATAGTGCAACCACGTAAGAATAGTTCAGCAATTTCTTAAAAAGTTAAATTTATCATATGAGCCAGCAAATCCTTAGAAATCCATTCAATAAAAATAATAATAAATGTCTCCACAAATACATATATGTGAATGTTCATAGCTGAGTTACTCATAACAGCTCCGAACTGGAAATACCTAGACATCCATTAGCTGGGAAGTAAGCAAAAATGTTGTACAGATACACCATGGAACAGTATTCAGCCATAAAAGAGAACTACTGATATGTTCTACAACATAACTGGTCCTCAAAAACTTTACACTAAGCAAAAGAAGGAGAATGCAAAAACTACATGTAGTATAACCACAGTTATATGAACTGCCCCGAAAATATAAATCTGTCAAGACAGAAAGCAGATCTGTGTTACTCAGAATGAGATACAAAGGCAGGGGTTAATGAATATGAAAGAAGTTTCTCTAATGATAAAATTTTCTAAAATTATCTTGTGATGTTGATGAAAAAAACTATACATTTGCTAAAAATCATGCAATTATACATTCACAAACAATGGATTTTATAGTATGAAAATTATACCTCCATAGAGTTTCTTAAAAATCAATGTTTTTGGATATTCATCACAATGAGTTTTCAATATTTTAAAATTTCAAAATTTTAATTCAAAGGTAGGAAAGAATTGTGTTTTAAATTTGTTCACTATACATAATGTAATCATGGGATTGATCATCTGAATAAGAACACTTCTGAGAAATGAAAGGGATTCTAATAATCACACAAGGAGACAGGAAAGGCGAGGCAATTCAGAATGGATAGTCATTCTTGGTTGGTATTAAACTGGTATTTTAATGCCTTTATCTAACCTGTTTAGAATAGATGACATCATGTAATTGAGCTACTCCACATTTTAAATTGGTCAAGAGGTGAATTATTCTGTCCTTAGCATCATGCTTGGTTCATTCTAGCTCTCTGACCACAGATGAAAGCTTCTAGTCATCCAAAGAGGACTTTGTTTCCTTGTTCTTTCCATTTAATTCACGGGTTTTGGGACGTGGTTAGCAAGCCTGCACACAAATTACTTTTCTAGCCCTTAAGTGTACATCTTCTAAAATGTGCTAGTATCCTAAATTTACAGGTCTAAAATTCAAGTTGATCAGTGACAGGAAAAATGCTGACACTTTTATGTGTGATGCCTCAATTTCTCTCTTATTTTTATCTAACCCTTCAACACTTATAATTCTATGTGCCAGGTACTGCATTAGGTGCTGGATTAAAAAAAAAAAAGACAAGAAAGGAAGTCAAACCTTTCAGATGCCCCCATGTCTAGTAAAAATCAGCTACTAAAAGACTGTTTTTTTTTTTAGCTACAGGCATAATAAGTGTTATATATATAATATTGAGTGTTCTTTGTTTAGGCACATTTTCACTTCTAATTCTTTCCTGAATTGAACAGGCAATGCAAAAAAAAAAAAAAAAAAAACCAATATAGCAAGGCCTTAGGGCACTTCTCTTCACCCATCACTACTAATCTGCCTTTTGTCTAAACAAAGCAGCCACCTAGTGGAATACTATGAAAATGTTTTGGTTCTTGTGCAGATTTATGATTCAGTGAAACAATAATGCCCCAGGGGACCACTAGGTGGTGGCAAATGTCACAGGCAGAAGCCATGGGATCTACCAGTGCAAAGTTTGATGGGGAGGGAATGCCTGAGGTGAAATTCCTTGTTTTTAAGAAAAAACAGTAGAACTGGGAAACTGCATTAGTCTTAGAAAAAGAATTAGCTAACAAGTTGGAATAGTCTTAGAAAAAGTAGAATGGCATGAAATACATTATGAACTGCCCCACCTCTTTTTTTTAAAGTATTAATCCTATAACATAAAGTATTAGAAAGAAACAGCACTTATAATTTGGTAGTAAAAACATTAATACTTAATTTTAATTACTATTGTCTCAGAAACAGATTTTCTGCTAATCCACATCTGTATCTCTTGTGGATTTATAGTTTTACATTTTATACTACTTGTAGATCCTATACCAATAGTCTACCATCATTCACACAGCTCTTTCTGCCAGGAGTCTGTTTTATTATAGTGTGTAAAACACTCCTCGTGTTGGATGTTGGACATATAATAAGTAAACTCTAAATCAAGCTTACGTCCCATGGTAGAAACAAACCAGGTCACAGTTGAAGATAGTGCAGGTAGCACAAGATGACAGGGCTAGAATAGAGGTACCAAAGACCAGGCAAAGGCCACCTGACCAAGACTTCCAGGAGTGATTGGATGGGTAGAAAACGTTGTGCAGAGGTCTTTGGAATATGTGGTGGAGAATGATATGGAGAATATCAAGAGAAGATGCAACACAGCATTTTCAGAAAAGCTACAAACACAAGAAGGCAGTAAAGGAGGTAAGAAGTTGGACAACTGAGTAAGAGTGGGAATAGAGGTGCTTTCTGCCAGACTCTGAGACTATTCAATTATGAATCTTTTATGCCACTGAAGGCTTTTGGACAGGCGACTGACAGGATCAATTCTGCATTTTCACAAATAACAAAAGGCTGCAGACTTTAGCAGTTATGACCATAGACCCTAACAGTGGAGCCTTATTTGTGTAATGCTGAGCAACTGCTTCCATTCTCTGTGCCTCAATTTTCTTATCTCCACGTTGGAAATAATCAAGTCTTATATCTTAGTATGGTTAAGAGGAGAAAATGAGTGAATTTCAGTTCTAAAGACCTGAGAACAGCACTAAGCACCTATAGAGTATCAGTAACTTTGAAAATATTTTTAATTGTGGCAAAATACAATTAAAATAAAATTTGACATTTTAGCTTTTTGTAAGTGCACCACTCCTTGCTTTAAATACGTCCACCTTGTTGTGCAATCATTACTACCATGCATCCCAAAGTTCTTAGTCCCTGGGAATCACTGTTCTTTGTTTCTGTGAACTTGACTACTCCAGGTACTTCATTAAATTCTTTATGTGCTAGTTGTCCTTATGTGCCTCACTTACTTTATTTAGGATAATATGTTCAAGGTTCATATACGTTAGAGCATGTGTCAGAATTTTTTTTCCTTTTTATGACTGAGCAATATTTCATTGGATGTATACATGATATTTTGTTTATTCATTTATCTGTTGGTGGCCATTCGAGTTGTTTCTACCTTTGGTTACTATGAATAATAAATAATGCTACTCTGTAAATAGGAGGACAAATACATGATTGTGTTCCTGCTTTCATTTCTTCTAGATATAGATCCAGAGGTATAACAGTTAAGCTAATTCTATGTTCAATTTTTTGAGGAAATATCATCTTGCCTCCTGTAGAAACTATATATACCATTTTACATTCTCAAATGCAGTGCATAAGAGTTCCAATTTCTTTATGTCCACACCAATACTTCTTTTCTAATATATATTAACAGTCATCCTACAAGGTATAGTATCTCATTATGGTTTTGATTTTCATTTTTCTAGTGATTAGTGGTATTAAGCATCTTTTCATGGCCATATATATATATATATATATATATAGCCATCTGTTTATCTTCATAGGGAAATATCTGTTTAAGACCTTTCCACATTTAGTCAGGATGTTTTTTGGTTTTTGATAGCCACTGTTTTGAGAACAGTGGTGGTTAGTTAGTAAGGGGGAAAGGCAGGTATGGAGAGAGAAGCTGTGACGGAAGTTGAAGTAAGGAATGCTGAACTAGGGTTGGTGCTGCCAGGAAGTGTTACGACAGAAATAAGATGACGGAGGCAGAAAAAAAAAAAGGATCACACATCCTTATGAACAAGAAGATATCAGCCAGAAGAAAGTAGGGAGTACTCAAGGCTTAGTTTTTGACTTGGATATCTGGTGGAATGAGCTGCCATTCGCGGCCATGGGCAATTACACAGGAAGGTTGACTTAAGGATGAAAGGCAATGAAAGAGAGTTCAAGAACCTTCCCTAGTCTACTTGTCTTCTGAGATGGAGATAGCAAGTCACAGTGTTTGTGTCCCTCCAGGGCATTCATTTTTAGATCTCTTTATCTCACCACTGGTAACATGTAAGGTCATGTCTTACATATCCTGGTGTGCTAAATGTTTGCTAACTATATTGAGAAACAGAGAGGGTGGTGAGAGGATTGGAGGAAAGAGCTTTTAATTGATAGATAAAAACAAAAATGGTAATCAAATTTTTACCTGCTTCAGATTCAGGAGGGGAATAAAACTGACCATCAGAAAGACCAGCAGGTATGAGGGCTGCCCTCTCTGATGCATCCTGAACTATCAGGAGTCCTGGAAAAGAAGAAATTCAGATCTGTGAATGTATCACATTCCTGGTAGGTTCTTGGCAAAAATTAAATATTATAAATGGTAAAAAGAGATATTCTCAAAATCTTTCAACAAAAAATAAAGATTTCATTAATAAATTATGAACCAATACTGTAAAAATAGAAAATAAAGTAGTTCAAAGAAACTGTTTCATGTTACTCCTTCAACTCAATATTTAGAGCATCTTCCCCTTACTAATCCCGTATTCCCACAAAATCAAAACAACCATAAAGTGAAATCAAAACCCAGTCAGCCTGTACAAATGGTACACCATCTGCATGTGTTTAGAGAAATGCCAGGTATCAAGCATAATATAGAGCTGGCCTTTTATAAGTATGTAAAAAGAAGTAAAGTTGATTAAGAAACACCTATGCAAAAAAAGATCTGCAAACAAAAGAAGGGCATTAAAAAGCAAGGGGAAGACAATGAAACTCCAGAACACTAACACATGATGAAGAACATTAACAATTGACTACTTTGGCTGAGGACTGAGCAAATGTTAGGAGACAGTGGGGGGAATCACCCAGACAGCAGATGCCAGGTACATGTGTCCTCTCTGCTACTGACAATAGAAGCAAATGCTGTTTTCAAAATCTAATAATTCTGTGTTAAGCTTTATTAGACACTGTGGAATTGGTTCAGTACAAACTTTAGTCATATTAAAAGTTCACGATTCAATTAAGTTCAATATGATGTTTATATACAATTAAAATAAACTTCCATACATTCTTTAACTTTACCTATTTTTTCTCCACACTATGCTTTCATAAAGGAAAAGGGGGCACAGGATAGAAAATACATCTTGGACCACTGATTTATATAATTTTTTAAATCTACTCTTGAACTATAACTCTTTTCTTATAGGTTTTTTTCCTATTGAAGAGATTTTCCAAAATCAAACTGTGCAAAGCTATTGTTCATCCTGTCATTTTTGAAACTATAATTTTTGAAACTATAATTATGACTAAGATTCTGTAAGATACAAGATTTTTTTCCCTATGAGGCACAGTATGTTGAGCCAGATGATGGATAAGTTCAACATGGTAGGAGATCTGGAAACTGCAAGGGAGTCTGAATTGATCTTGGCTATTTCAACTCAGAGAGGGGTAGGCAGGACATATGAGCCTCCACTAAGGTACCATGTGAAAAAGATCCCAGCCCCAATAATTAACTGTACAACTCAACAGTTCATCTGTCCTTCCTACTCAACATCCTGGTACACTGAAAACCAAGCAATGGGATAACAACAGTTTCAGCAGGGCTCAGGAGTACACCATGCTAGCTGTCATGTGAGAGGGCTGAGCACTGCTCGGGCTATAGGACTGTAGTTTTTCCCCTCTCAACTTCACCTGCATCATTATGGTCCCAGCTCTAAGCCTTCATTGTATTAATTATACCCAATCCATAGTAGGCTACCACCTACTGTATACATATCAATATGACACTTTAGAGAACCACAGACTTTGTTGAAAATTGCTAATTCGTTCACTTAAAATTGTTTAAAAATTTCTACCCCTAAACAGGATAGTTCCATTTATATGTACAAAATGTTTAGTGTTGTATGATGATTATCAACAATGAGAAAAGGTCAACCTCCCAAGCAGAATGAGGTGGTACCAATTTTTTTGAGATTTTGTTAATGAGATTTTCCAAAATGAAACCATACACAAAGTAGCTGTTTCTTGAATGACTTTTTAGCCAGTGTCCATATTTTCTCTTGGGGAAGCCTGGCCTGACAGCCAGAAAGAAGAATCACTTCCTGTTGCCATCCACTCACCTACCCAACCCTTCTCTACATTTTGGTATAGCCAATGAAGAATAGAGATGCTGTGACTGACTGACTCACTCTAACCCCTCGCGGCTCCCCTCACATCCAGAAGCCACATCTCTTCCTTGCTACTTGGTAGTGAACTAGTAGTCTCTGGAGGCTGACTTTCACAGAAACTTACTGTTTTCTTCTTCTGCTTCTTGAGGTAACACTTTGAAATCCAGGAACCATGTCTCAATCCAGGCGAGGATGAATGAAATGATGGGCAGCACATAGCCAAACGCCCCTTGGGAAAAAAGCTGGAAGAACAGGTGTGACCAGGAGAAGGGAGGCAGTCACTATCAGCTCACACTGGGAAATGAGGCTTCATCAGTGCAGAGGACAATGGTACAGGAAAAGGGGGAGGCCATACCTTTGAAAGGATCACTTTCGCTAGTAAAAAGGCACTGGTCACTGCTGTTGTTAACTGAAAGACACAATGCAGCAGTGCTCGAATTAGACATTTCTCACTGTGAAGGCACCTCCCTCATATAGGAGACCCATTTAAGCCAAGAGCAGGCAACACCTATTCTTGGCCTGATTCCTTCCCATATTACTCTATATCAGTCCCCTACACCCAGACCAGGGCAAAATGGGCTTATATGTGGCACATAATTGCCAATTGGCTGCTTATGGTATTTCTTCTCCCAAGTTTTAGCAGATTGATGTGTTAGAAAACTACACTTTATCTATCAGAAGTTATAATATTCAGTCACATACAACCAATTTGTGAAAATGTACAGACAAGGCTTTCCATAGAGGTTATGAAGCCCAGAGCAATTCTACCATACCAAAGCCTTGTCACTTTCACTTCCAATTAATATTTTTAGCATGATGAAACCTGACCACAGTCAATGCTAACAGCAGTATGACAGAATGGAGGCCAGGGAATATCAAGGATCTTGCTTAGTAAGTGTTAACAAGTTGCTTGCAGGCGCGGGCGTGCACACACACATACACATACCCCAGAGTGAGCTGTCTGGGAGAGGAGACATTTCACACCCTAATGCTGGTTTACTTTACAGGTTGGCACTAAGTGCTCTTTAGGTACCAGCTGACTTCTCCTCCTTTTAGGACTCTCTCTGTAAATGTTTTAAACATGAATCAGAAACAGTAAAATGGATTTGCTAAATCAAATCTATTCTTAAAAGATCATTTGAAAGTATCTGTTAAAGATGCTTTATCATTGCATGTCTGTACGTCAATCACTTTTCTAAAATAAATACTAAGACAAATGGTCTGGCACAGTATTCTCCATCATGGAAACTCTGGAATAGAACGTTTCCATGGGGCTGTTAAAGAAAATTGGAATATGCGATCATCACAGGTAGTGTGATATGAGCTAGAGTATTTGGGAATCAAGTGTGCCTAGACTGTCCACTACATCCCTCAAATGAGAGATTCTGGATTAATGTAGGTTCTGACCTCTATCATGTGATGATGGGAATGTTAAGAGGAAATGACCCAGGCAGATATGGCCCTGGTACTTAGTCTGCAGAAGGCAGCATAGCTCCTATTCCAACGAGGACAAGCCAGAGCCCTCAAACAGCAGGGTTTGGGGATATTCCTATGCAGTTCTCTCCAGCTTCGAAGATTCAACATTCTCTTGCCCCTCACCCCCAATGTATTCAGAACATCTGTGGAAATGGCAAAAAACATCCAGGCAGAATTGCTTCTAATTCTTTTAATCCCTTAATGTTTACTGATGATGTGTCCAAGCTTTGTGCTAAAAGCTAGGAAAGAGATAAGTAAAAATATCACTATACTCATGAAGCTAGGGGGAACAGGAATGTGCTTAGAAGCTTCTTCTTCCAAAATGGGGGAAGTGGGTAAAGGAGGGGGAAAGTGATTATCAAAATAAACAGAGATCAAATCTTTAAAAATCTAGGCAGTTTTAACAAAAGAATTTTCTAAATATTTCTGGGACAGAGGATCCTGTTTTTATCTCTTCAGCAACATGAAACACAGGGTAGATGGATGTTTGGCCAATCATCATTCTTGGACCTCCAGAGTCCTCATTTGACTCAGCATCTTAGAAATGAACCTGATTACTCTTTAACATTAGAAAGAAGACCTGGAGAATTAAACCTACTAAAGCCAGGGAGAAAAGGGACTCAGGAAAAATTAGTGAAATTTGCTAGTGAAATTCTGTCTGGTTAAAACCACATCTCTTCTCCCAACTCGGGCTTGTTGTGCACAGGCCCTGGTCAGAACCCCAGAGGAGATGACCAGCTCATCATGGCACACTCACCGCTATTGCCCACCAATGGCGCAGTCTGCATACAGCATATGCGAGTATCAGCACTTTAAATCGAAAAACTGCCAAAAGCTGGACCAAAAAACAAAGGTAAAGAAGACAAGTAATTTAAAATATATATAATGAAATATATTTTAAAATACATATTTTAAATACACCATTCTAGTGAAATTGCAGATTGTCCCCAATGGGCGCTGACTCCTAGGTCAGCATGTGGGACTGCCTACCCCAGATCCTCAAGTAAAGTAACTGAAGTAAGGTGTCAGACTAATTTCTCCTTAACAAAAAGGAGCAATCTAGAAAAGAAATAGCATTTTTATCAGGCTATCATGAAAGCAGGTGAATTTGCCTTTCAGTGGCTAGGACACGTCAAAAGGTTCTACTTGAGCTGTGTGCTCTCATCTAGAACATGGGAATGATTCCTTCTGCCCTCTCTTTATCTGTCACTCTTCTTTTCTTTCCTTGCAATGATTAGACACTTCCTTAGTGAGTAATTCAGAGAAAAGGAATACAGTTTACATGCAAGGTAGAAAAAAATGGCATCAAATTTTAGGCCTATTTAAGAAAAATTGTCTTTTGTTGTCATTCTATCTGTAAGGAGTTACAAAAGAAAATACTCACAAATATATCAAAATAAGATGAGTAGTAGTCATATTGCACCACCTCCTTCTCTAACGTGTTCTCAATGCCTCCGTTCACCTAGGAAAAAGGGTAAAAAGCAAAAACAAGGAGTGATTTACTTGAGAAAATGAAACAAGAGTGAGGTTTCCTATATACTTTCCTACCAGTCTTGAACCCAGAAATGTTTGGAAGAAAAGAAGCCTCATAATTTAAAAGGCTGAATACCACTTCCCACTTCTTCGGAGTTCATTCATGCAAAAGATATAAATGTATAATAAGGAGCAATGACTTTGCAATTCATATTTTAAATACTAAAATATTAAAAATCATATTTTCTCTTTTAAAATAAAGTCTTCAAGCATATATATACATACATGCTTTTAAAGAAGGCACATTTATTCAAGCCTTCTTCACTTGATGACCAACAGTTTTAGGTTCTGGAAGGCTCAGGCTCCCATGATCTTACAGCAAACATAAATGAGGACAATTAGCAAGACACATAAGAGAAGTATAAAAATTCTCTTTATTTTTTTCATCTTTTTATTTTGCTCCTGGCATTTTAAAATTCTAAACTCTTCCATGCTAAGTGAAAAAAGTCAAAAACTAAAGGTCAAATGTTTCTGCTGATATGTGGAGGGTAACTCACAATTAAGTCGGGGATGGGAGGAGGAATAACAGAAGTTCAATAGATCAGACAAAGGGAAATGGAGGAAAGCCGGGGGATAGCAAAAGGAAAGATAGTGGAGAATCTGATATAATTTTCCCATGTACATATATGGGAACGCCACAGTGAATCCCATAATAATGTACATGCACAAGAATGGGATCCTAACTAAAATAATATATATTCCATGTTTATATAATTATATCAAAGTGGATTCTAGTGTCATGTGTAACTAAAAAAAAAAAAAAAAAAAAAAATTCTCTATTCTTATCAATTTACATATATAACTTGGATAACAAAATTGGAAACATGTGACAGTTACAGTAAATGGTGAAAATCAAACCCAACAAGATAAACTTTCTGCCCCCCCCCTAATTCTACCATGAAAATGAATTTTAAATTATCAAGTTTAAAATTTTACAAATTAAACTATGGATATATATATATATATATATATATATATATATACACACACACACACATATACATTCATATATATATATATATATTTTTTTTTTCTTTTAAGAAAATCAAGTAAAGGGACATATGACAGGCCATGGATAGAGTACCAGACAGACTCTCTTAATGGTGAGAGCCCATGGACCAGCCTAGTCAGAAGGAATGTGATATGAAACATTAACTTCAAGCTTCTAATTCTGAACAAAGTCCTGGTAAACAAATAGAGATGCACTGAAAAAGGAAAAAACAAAGTGCAATTGACCAGGCAATTGGATACGAGGGAAAGAACAAGGAATACCTTTGCAAGATTCCCTAATTTGTCAAATTAAAATGTCACAAGGAAAGGGTGGTCTTAGCTTAACTACCTTTTCATGGATTTGTATTTGTTATTCAAGTGAAAACAAACCATAAATACTATTCTGTACCTTAAAATACCTGAAGGAGTTTTAGGTTTCTAAAATTAGTACAAATTGATTTTGTACCTGCTTGGCTATAAATTTCTATAAATAAATAGAACTGAAAGCCTGGTCACAAGGAAAAATCACTAAAGACCAACCGACCATCTATTTACATTGCTTTGTCTCTCCAAACTAAGGAAACATTCCAATATCCAGAATATTAAGAGAATAATTATTCTGAGTAATCCATGGCAAAGAGGGTTCTCTACCACTGTGACCACCCCCTCACTCCGCTTCTGTTCCCAAGACAGCAGGAATCAAAGCTGTCAGCATGGTTTTGCCAGTAGAAAAAGTTTTCCTCTGGTATCTTCTCACTTTAAAAAAGACCCTGACTTTGTGTTTTTCAATAAGATATTTAGGATTTATTACCTAAAAACTTACACTCTAAATCCTTATTTCACAAATCAATGTCTAGCTCTAGGTATGTCAAATTGACTGACTATAGTTGCACACCAAATCAAATTCTTTCTGGTTCAAACTGACCATTCTTCATTCAAAGATATAAAATCTGAAATGCTACAAAATGTGAAACATTTTGAGCACTGGCATTCTCACCACAAGTGGAAAATTCCACATTTGATCTCTCATCCCAAATGCAGGCCCTTGAAAAAACAGTACAAAATTACCTTCAGGATGTATATAAAGTACATATGAATAAATTTTGTGTTTAGAATTTGTTTCAACCCCAAGATATCTCATTATATATAAGAAAATACTGAGAAATTTTAAATACAAAATCTGAAACTTCTGGTCCCAAGCATTTTGGCACAGGGACAATTTCTAAGTCCATCATTAAAAAGTTGAGAGTCATCTTTGATTACTAGGGAGGATAAAATCAGACTGTCAGCAAGTCTTCTGCTTCTCAGGTGAGCTCTTCCCTCCTACTCACACAACCTCAAATGGCATTCTTTCAACAGCTCCTGAGTTAGTGTTCTTAAAGCTAACCTGCCACTAATGTAATCAAGCTACACACCACTACCATAATGATCTTTGTCCATTTGTTAAATATTTGCTGGGCACCCATGGAGTACCAGACACTCACTGTTTTAATTAAAGAAACTTCTGAAAACAAAACAATATCTCTGTCTTCATTAGTGTGCATCCTAGCAAGGCAAGAGAGAGGACAAGTAAGAAAATAAATACTATACAGAAACAGAAGCAGGACAGTCTGACAGAATGATGGTGACATTTAAACTGACTTCAGAATGATAGGATATCAGAATCTACAAAATAAAGGAATTTATTTATTAAATAAAGGAATTTATTTATTCCTCATACAGAGGAAACTACTAGTATAGAGGACCCAAGACATAAAGGAGCCTGTTGTTACATTCTGAGAGCAAAAAGAAGCAAGAGTGGCTGATGAATGCAATCAATGAGTTGTGTTGATGAAGGCAAGAGTGTTGCTGAGAGGGAAGCCTTCAGGAAGAATTCAGTTAGTTGGGGAAAAATGTAATCAACCTGACCCAGAGCTTTGGGAGAAAGTAGGCACATCAGGTTAAATAAAATATGTAACTATAATGAATTTCTCTTGTTTATTTTAACTTTTATTACTGTAACAACTATAGAATCTTAAATTATATGCTTTAAATTGTGCATTACATTTGTAACAGGCAACACTGATGGAGGCAATTATTTGGTAATATAATTGCGTATGTCCAAATGCCTCTAAGAAAACTTACTTAATATGAAAAAGTGATCTCTGAAAAAAAATACACAAAATCTGCAGCAATGGCACTAGAAAAGTAGATGTAATAGCTAAAACATTTCAGAAGCATTTTGTGTATTTTTTAGGAGAAGTTGGTGAATTCATTCTGAAAAGGTCTAGGAAATAATTATTTTTGCCTCTTAGGCCAGAAGGTCTCTGGCTTAACTACTTAACCCAACTACTTACAAACCATAGGCATATATAAACAAATGGGCATAGCTGTGTTCCAACAAAACTTTGCTAAGACATGCCAACTGAATTTATCCCACAGCCTAAAGTTTGTCAACTCTTATTATTGAGCAAAACATTAGGAATTCAAATTTCAAAAAGCCAAAGTGAGCTTTAAATTTACTTATTTGTTTCAAACAATGATACTAAAGAATAAGATCTCAATCTGATGGAGAAGAGCAATGCTGCCTCATCTGGAAAAAGATGAAATTCACTAAATGATACATAAAAAGTTTATTTGAAGAATACATTTTTGTTTCTGGAGTCATTTCTTATAAAAGTCATGAAAAAAAAATCAACTTACATTTAACTCTATTATCCACAGTAATGTTACAAATAAGAGGTCAAAGGTGACAAACAAACAGAAAGTCCTCCTGACATCGGATATGCCTTTCTTTTCCCTTCCTTCATAGGACTCGATCCTGGCCATGAGTTGTGTGGGGTTGATGGAGTGGACTTCTCGCAGAGAAGCATGGGAGCTCTGGCTCCCAGTGAGTGTATTCTCCATGTCTGGCAGGTGGTTCATCCCGGAGAAGGGTTAAAGGAACCTTTTCCCAACTTCACCATCCCTAGAGAGAAGAGACCTTTGGGAAATGAAAGAGAGACATCATGTTAAATCAATGTATAAGTACATAAACTGTATTATATTTTACCTAGTACAAGCATGCTACCCTCATGACTGTGAGACTGTGTAACTGAGCAGCAGAGGGTCCTGATAGAAGGTATTCATGTTTTAATAAAGACAAAGAGAACATGAAATTAGCAACACTTAATGTTCTCAACACCACAAAATATCTGCCATGGAAAAAATCAAGAAGAATGCAATAAAGAAGAACACAAATTTATGATAGGAAAGGGTGTTAACCATAACAAAAAGTCAATCCTGATAACCTGAAGCAAATGTCTTGTGAAAGCTGAAAGCACCAAGCCAGCTCTTTTGCTGTGCCAGGGAGAAGACCTCCACTGTCCTGCAAGTGTCACTGCCTATGAACTAGGAAACCATTTACTGAACATTTGCTTGCACACATAAGCAGAACATATAAGCTTTCAGCTACTAAAAAGGAAAAAAAAACAAAGAAAAACCTTGTTTCCTAAAGAAGATTTTTTTTTAACCTGAAGTGCTTAATAAACATAGCATTTCCCCATTACCTCTTAATGAACGTGTGTTTCTGGGCCTCTTCTAGGAAAAGTTGTTTGTGCCCCCAAAAGTTCAACCCTCAAAAGTTTAACAGTATGTAACCACCCAATTAATGATTACAGAAGGTATAGCCCTATGTAGAAATGCAGGTTCCCCAAGACCAGGAAGTATTTCGATAATAAGATAAAAATCTTATTATAAAAAAGATGAGTAATCTAAACAATCTAACTTCCTCAATGAAAGATATAGTGGACAGTATGATTGTTTGGACAGTATGATTGTTTGCCAAATATTTCTGTTTCTCTTCCTATAATACCTCTCCTTGTATGAGGATATATGGACTCTATGACCTACTGAACTCATGTGCTTTTCTTTGGCCATGAATGTGGGTAAATGTTCATATGTTATTTTTGTCCAGAAGCATTAAGAACCAGTATAGCTTACCATGCTCATCTTTTTAAATGTGCCATGATTACCTATGTCCAGAAACAGAGAAGCATTTTCTAGCTGGGTAACAGAAGTTGGAAGCAGACTGCTGAGATTTCTCCAAAGCAATATGGTCTCATTTGATCTTATTCCCTGTCCAGAATGTTGTCTCTTTAACATTGAGCCTGATCTTTCTTCCTTCCCATATGCAGGAAAAGATAATCCTTTGCATTATGTATATAATATGGTGGAAAAACGATTTGATATTTTTATAAAAATTATTGATTATATTAACTAATATTTTTAAATATTCATACTTTACTTCTGGAAATTTTAAAGGAAATTATTTAAACTAAAGACATTCAAAGCAAAATTGATATATTATGAGTCAAGTTAGTAGTTAGTTACCTTGGAACAAGAGGAAGGGAATGATGATTGCAGGGCACAATGCAGGAGTGCATTTAGGGGACTTGGTAAAGTTCTATCTCTTGATTTAGTAGTGGTAACATGGGTGTGTTCAGTTAATTGACTGATACAGACAGTTTCAGTGACATGTTGACTGGTGAAAATTTCAAAATGCTTTACACTTATGTATAAGTACATAAACTGTATTATATTTCAACAAAAATCTCTATTAAAATACTTTATAGTAGTATAAATTAGAAAATGATCTAAATATCTAATAATAGGGAAGTAATTAGATAAATCAGGTGTAGCCATAGTAGACAGATTAAAATGAATGGTTATGAAGCATTTGTAAGGACTTAGAAAAATGTTTGGGTGATAACTTAATAAAAATCTAACACTAAATGGAATACAAACATGTAGTATGTTTATGACTGTAAAATACACCTAAACCAAATTCTTTAAAGAATGTACATACAAAATATATAAGATGTTAGTTATGATAACCTCTGCCTGATGATACTGTATTTTTCTCTTCTTTTTACTGTTTCTACATTCTTCAAATTTCTTAATTTGAACATACTACATTTATAACAGCAGGAATAAATTTAATTGTCATTTTGTTAGGCTCTTGAACAGAAATCTCCAGGATACTATGGAGTCCTTCTCTTTAATTTCTCCTAATCTAGCCAACATTAATAAACAAGATAACAGTGTCTTGTTTATTCACTTTGCCTCCTCAGAATCAGCAAATCAGCAAAGCATTTTGAAAAGCTCAGTGGGAGTTTACTTTTGCACCTTGTATAAAGAAAATATAAAGTTCCAAAAATGTTAAATACTTCTACATGATTTGTCTGGATACTATGAAAAGCATCCCAGTAAAAGGACTATCAATGGCCTATGGGCATATTCCCCATAAAGCAGCTAACTTAAAAAGAAAAGAAAACCTTGCCTGTCAGACTTCTAGTGAGTCAAAATGAATGAGTGTAAATAGTGTTTTCTGTGATGAAACACATACTTGAAGTTTAAAAGGATAGCTGATATGCCCTCTAGAACTGAACCTGTATGAAAATAGGCATATTTCTGCAACAACATATTCTTTAATAAGATAAAGCAACCCAGATAATTCTTAAGTCAATCTAATAATCTATTAGCAACATATTTTAAAAATTTAAATTCTTAAGTTCACTATTTTGTAAAAACATCAACAAATTTGCAATCCAAATTAAGGGCTCTTTTAAAAGTCATTTTCAAGATTATTTTATTAATCTCAGTCCTTCCTTGTTTCAAAAACCCACTATTCATGAATATAAAACCCAACAAAGCAGAAAATCACAATGGCATACACATGACTTGGGAAATGAGTAATAGGGAAGTAATTAGATAAATCATGTTTGAAGTAATTAAATAAATTGCTACAAACATACTAATCAAAGTTAAAATCATCTGGCCATCTTTGACCTCTGTCTCTGACACTGCTGGTGAACTGACTAAAAGCCACATATCAGAGTGTCTTGGAGTTTACAATAGCAGGTAAGCAAAATTATTGCATTATTTTTCAGATGTATGTGTATAACTGCTACAGATACTCGCAGTAGCTTCAATAACAAAGTTTCCCAAAGCACAAACTGCTCTGCACAACCTGGCTCATCAAATTGATCTTTCTCTGACAAAAAGGAAAATTGAAAAAGGGGAAGAAAGCTTCTTTTGCTTTTTTTATTTAACTATACTTAATGCAGCAAATCGGTCTTCATATAGTGACAATGTAGATGTTCTAGGTCATGAAAAAATATGGAGCAGATTTCAAAAATAAATTTGTTTTAGAGAAACTTCTACTAAAAAGAGAAAATAAGAAAAGAGGGTCCTTAGTTTGATAGACTCATGCTACAAACATACTAATCAAAGTTAGAAACATTTGACCATCTTTGACCTCTATCTCTGGCACTGTTGATGAACTGACTAAAAGCCACCTATCAGAGTGTCTTGAAGTTCACAATAGCAGGTAAGCAAAATCAACAACCTCCACCTGCTCCCTCTCCTTCCCACCCCCATAAAAATGGTTCCTAGTGATAGTTTCTTAGAGGAATTGGTAGGGACTTGTGGGCAAATGGGAGCAAAGAAAAAGCTTAACAATCTTCTTTATTCTCATAAATTAGACTACGAACTCAGAACTACAGGGAGTATTGGTCAAAAATACCTAAGGAAATATCAGCTAATCTGTGTTCTATATGAAACTCTTGGTTTTTGTGTTATTGTCCTTTATAAGACTGGATTTGATTTTTTACTGACTTATTTCATTTTGATAGACTTGAATTAGAACACTTGTAACTACAAGTTATGTCTGAACTTAAATTTCTTCTTAAATGTATATACATTGAATGTCTTAGCCTAAATTCTTTAAAATTTTTTTTTAAAGTAGGGTAAATAAGTGAGTATAAAAATTAGTGAAACAAGGAAGGAGGAGAAGCACTAGTTTCTCAATAAGCTTGGAAGGGACACAGCAAGTCAAGGGCAGGCTGTCTAGGGGAAAAGATGGTGAATCTCCGGAGAAGCCAAATGGAGAAACAATGCCTTACAGCCGTCTATGAGAAAGGGAGCTCCTTCCAGGGACCTATTTCCTTAGTCATATTTCTCCTTAAAGGAAGTTACCTACACTGCATTTCTGACTGCTTCATCTGGTTCTTCTCAAAAAACAGTGCACACATTCCTGGGTATGGCCTTTCACTCAAGCCTTGCAGGAAGGTGCAAAAATTCTGGATATGATACTGGCTAGTCCAGATGGTGGAAACCCATCTACTGGAGTATAGCTACCTGTCCAACAAAGCCAATATTTGAAGGTTCTTAAGGTAAAATCAAGGAAATCTGAGAAAAGTTCATAAAATGTGACTTGGAATTCTTTTAGTTCAGATTATTTTTAAATGCAACAAAATGATGTGCTTTTGGGGTGCACCTGTTATCAGTATCACCTGTGGATTCTGGTGAACTCCCAGCCAGCTGAACCAGGTGATTCTAACACCCACTGCTGTGAGAGCTTTCTTTTAATATGTAAAGAGAACGATCATTGCTGAAGCCCATTTCTATTCCATGATTACTGGACTTCATCCTACCCATTTCCTTCATAAAGATACAGTATGAGTATCTTTCTGGAATTCAGTTCCTTCTGGAATTCTCCTCAAATTCTAATCCCCAAGATAAAGTGCATCTCTTCTTTGCTCCTTCAAAACAATGGATGTGCCACTTGTGGTATTTTTTATCACTGTGGACCTTAATTATCCATTTACTGGGCTGCTTTTACTGCTAAATGGCATACTCCTTGAAGGTCCTACATCTGACCAGGGAGCAGCCCAGTACATGAGAGACAGCAGGAACAAAACAGGTAAAACTGAATAAATTCTATCTAGCATGTAATTCAGAGCCCAGCACAGAGTAGGACCTCAAAATCTGTTGAAGTTAGGAGACTACAACTCTTTCTTTCTGAGGAACAGCTTGGATGTTTTCCCAGATGTCATTTCAGAAGTGTTAAATATTCAGTCCTTGGTACTGAGATCTTCCTGGTGTTGGCTTAGGAAAGCTTTGCCTCTCTAAAAACAGTATTACACATCCATTTAGCTGTACACATAGGATGTTATATCTACAATTCAGGATTTATTCCAACTATGGAGAAGTACTAAGAGTAGAGAGTAGGGTGGAGAATTATAAAATAAAAAAGCACTAGTTAGTTTCTCGATGAGCCTAAAAGGGACACAGCAAGTCAAGGGCTTTGTGTGAGGAAATAGAATCCTCTTGTTGTTTTGGTTTTTGAAAAAGGGACGTATGTCTTAATTGTTGAACATCAAAGGATAACAACTATCCTCCTCTGTGTTACAATTATCAGCCAGTTATTTCTATAATTATATTGCATTAACCCGCTATTCAAAGCTCAACAATTTAAAACAATCCACATTTATTCTCAGCTCTTAAGTCTACAAGTGGCCTGAAGTTCACCTGATCTACACTGAGCTCATATAAGGCAGCTCTGGGCTTCAAGCTCTAGGAAGCAGAGCTTGGTCTCAAACTGTGTTGGGTCAGGTCTCTGTACTCTTAATTGATTTGTCAATTTCCTTGGACTAGGGAAGATCCGGAGCAAGTTCTTATCATGAAAGATGGCAAAAGCTCAAGAAAAAGCTAGGCTATGAAAGCACATTTAGTCTCTGAACACACTGTGCTTGCTCACAATAGTTTTTCCCAAGGCCAAATCCAAAGGGAGCAGAGCTGGGATGTATGTTCCATAAAAGAAGAGGGAAAGTGAATATGTATTCGCTGATTACTACTCCAATCCTACATAGCTATCAATGTTCTAAACCAGGGATCAGCAAACAGTAGGTTGCAGGTCAAATATTAAAAACTGTCTGTTTTCGAACATCAAATTTTATTAGAACACTGCCACATCCATCTCTATGGGCCTGTACAAATCCCAATGGCTCGGAAGGCTGAGGCAGGAGGATCAAGAGTTCAAAGCCAGCTTCAGCAAAAGTGAGGGGCTAAGCAACTCACAAAACACAAAATAGGGCTAGGGACGTGGCTTAGTGGTTGAGCATCCTTGAGTTCAATTCCCAGTACTCTCCCACCCCCCAAAATGCCTTACCTGTCTACAGATGCTTTCACACTAAGACAGCAGGACTGAATAGTTGAAACAAAGGGTACATAGCCCACAAAGTCTAAAACATTGACTTTACTATCTTGACTCTCCTAGAAAGAAGAAATACTGCTTTTATCAGCTTCCCGAAAGGGGTCCTAAATAAGACTTGCAGTTATTTAGCTAAAGCCAGCCTTAAAAAGGTGTATGCTTAATTTATGAATATTATTTTTTTCACAATGAATACTCTGATTAGCAAAAAATGTAATTCATTTTTACTTTTTCATAGTTTGCTCTTCTGACACACCACACATAGGCACAGGTGATCTTATCTAATATTGGCTTATCCAGGCCACTTGAGCAGGACTTAGAGAATGGACACACCACTCTTTATTATGTTCTCGTTCATTAATTCCACACTATTAGTAACTGGAGAAAAACTATCCCACCTGTACTGGTGGCTTCTTCAATAATATCTTTCCCATGTGTGAAAATGCAAGCAAACAAAATGAAATCTTTTCTTGCATTTGTCCCTCTGCTGGGTGCAAAGCTGAGCCAAACTTCAGTTTCATCTGCTTCCACACAGAAGTGAAAATATCCAGTTGGCAAAGAGCTGCAGTTACAGTGCAGCAGGTACCACTTACTCCCATTTTACAGAAGTCCCACAATCTCTCATGCCTTCCTAGAAGAGTGGAGAGGGAATGCGGGCTCCTACTGAATGGCAGCCAAGTCTGTCAAGCCAACTGCCCAGTCTTCTCTGTATTACTTCTGGCAGCAACCAGAACACTATAGGGCTACAAGAGAGAATGTCAGACAATAAGCATTGAAAATATTTAAATCAGAATAGTCTATACAGAATATTTGGCTTAGTGACATGTCTTGTTTAGTCTTATATCCTAAATTAATTGCTAACATTTTAAATAATTATATTTTTCCATATTCCCAGGTTCTCCTGAAAAGTCGAAATATATAAAATCACCAGGCCTGCATTCCCTGGCCATGATGATAAAACCAAGTTGCTGATGCCTTTAGATGGGGCTTATACTCTCCACTTGGCCTCCAACTTGGACTCAGTCTAAGTCCTATCATCCTACTCTATTCTGATTCTTGTTTTATAGGCAAAGCAATTGAGGCCTATCTGGACTATAAGAATGTATCTACCTAATATATATTAAGATATATCTTAGGATTAAAATTGACTCTTTCTTCTCTATCATCCCGTTTCACCTTAGACCTTATGAGGATATAGACAACATAGTAAAAGGTATTCAAATGGCCCCTGGGATGCAGTCATGGGATTTGAGAGTTCCTAAAAACATGGGTTGACTCAGCTGTGCCCACTCTATTCTGGGTCTGGGTTTTAATGGAGGCACAAAACAGCCTGGGCTGGCTACCTCTTGCAAGGACCATCACATGTTATGAAATCTGGTTTATGATGGTAAAAGTCCTGTTTCAAGTCCTCAGTTTCTAAGATAAAGCATATAAATGTGGGGGGGGGGTGTGAATAATGAAGGATTACAAACACACATTGCCAGGATGAGAGGTATGACAGCCGAAAAAACATCAGATGCTTTAAAAAGTAAGCACATGGTGGGGAGAGGGGGACCACCAATCAAGGAAAAACCCCATTGAGACAGAAATGTCTCCTGAGGGTACCAATATGAGATAAGGAATGTCATGCCAGGCTTAAGAAGACCTAGAAAACCAACAAGCCAAATTTAACCAGTGATTCCTACTTCCATTAACATTTGCTTATAGGAGGCTGTCACTACTTTGAAAATACACAAAGGTAATTTGTAGGTAAGATGTTCTGAAGAAATAAAAATGTGTGGTTCATGTCCTGAACTTCTTCACATAATTGATGCCATGAAGCATGTTCATTCTACCCTGGAATATAAAGAGTTGATAGAAAGTTGCTTTACAAAGGTTATTCAAAGGTAACCACTGAGGAAAGAAAGGCTGTGGTCATGGGCAAGGTTAGAGAGTTGATGCATCTGTATGACAATCCAGCTTCTCAAGCTGAAGAACTATCATACTAGGAAACACTAGAGGAAGCTTAAATAAGTCATGACCAAACAAACCTTTAGCAAATTGTATATAACCATCATGTTGATATTTTAAAACAGTCTTATTTTCCTTTACACCATGTATGTTCCCCAAAGTCTAATGTACTGAAGGCTTTGTCCCAAGGCAACACTGTGCAGAGGTGGAGCTTCTAGGAACTAACTAGATTATGAGGGCTCTAACCTTATCAATGGATTAGGCCATTTGATGTACTAATCATTTGAATGAATATTGGGAGGTTGAAGAAAGTGTAGGAGTGGGAACAGAGGGAGAAAGTGGATCACTGTAGGTGTGCCCTAGAAAGGTACATTTTATCCTCAGTCCCCACACTCCCACTCCTGTTTCCTAATTGCCCTGAACTAACAGCTTTCCTCTGCCATGCTCTTCTGCCTCACTTCAGGCCCAAAGCAATGAAGCTAACCAACCATGGACTAAAACCATAAGCCCAAATAAATCATTCCTCCTCTAAGTTGTTTTCCTGAATTATTTTTCACAGTAATAAAAAACTAATACATGCCCCAAGTTAAATACAATGTTAAAAAAAAACTTTCTAAAATCTGTACTACAATTTAATTCAATAATTCCCTGCATACTTCCCACAACATTTTTCTAATTCTATAAACTGATATATTCTACATGCTGGTCAGGTTAAATAAACATCTAGTCCATATGGCAGTCAAGGTATTCCCTGCAGATACTGAGACATATCTGTCAATATGAATAGAATTGCTCTCCACTGAGTTATGCACATGACTGTTGGCAAATCGGGATTCCCAGTCAACAAGGAGGAGCTGGACTGAAACCCTAATAATCACCAGTGGGCCTGGGATGTGACCACCCAAGAAAAAGGGGGGAGGGGGAGCCTTCCTAATGGTCCCCAGTGTAGTATCACTGAGCAACTTTTTAAGAGGAGGATATCTAGATGTTTTATGATGCCCGTCAATGGCATTATCAGGCACAAAACTGCTCTCTGGAAACTACTAGAGATATCATTCAGACACTAACCTTAGCTGTCATGAAATGTTAGCACATTCTATATATAATATGCAGTAATACATTCCAAAGAGGATTTCAGAATAATGAATCATCACTCCGATATTCCCCCAATATCTTTATAAACTTACATGTAATTATCAGTAATATTCCTAAACTGAAATTACTTAGTGGACCATAGTTAACAGACTCAAACCAAAGACATACTTTCTAAACTTGACTGTGCGATGGTAATGAAACATTTGCCTATTATAAACCTGACTTGCAAGTACTTGGGTATGACTATTAATGGATACCAATAAAAGAAAGGGAGTATCTAGTTTAGCTAAAGATTTTTAATATAGAGTATGCAAACACTCAGGATGCATAATTGAGCTCTAAAAATTCTGACTGTATCTTTTTAACTAGGCTAGGATAGCTAACATTTAGATTCCCCCAAAATGACAAATTTTTTCATTTATCAGTACAATAAATTTGAATTCAGATTTAATATTCATCATTCAGTCTCAATACCTATCTTCCAAGAAAGAACAGACATATAAAACACATCTTTGCAAACTAAGAAAGACAAATGCTAAGTAAATGACAGGCTATATAATACAATGGAAAGGTCTGCTAGTTTACTCTTCTTTTAATCTTTTTTTTATATTTAAAAAATATAAGGGGCTGAGATTGTGGCTCAGCAGTAAAGCGCTCGCCTAGCACGTACAAGGCCTTGGGTTCAATCCTCAGCACCACATAAAAATAAATATATAAACTAATTGTGTCCAACTACAACTCATATATTAGTTGACTACTACTATGAAGTTCTTAAAATATAATTATTTTTAACCTTACAGAGATAAACTATAAGCTATTGAGATAATAAATCATGTTTACAAACTGACCATAACATAGACTACCAAAAAATTCAAATTCAATAAATCTTGCAATAAGTATGTGAAAAGGGGGGAAACCGTGCATAGAACAGGAATACATAACAGCAATATTGTCTAAAATAATTATTGAGAAAAAAATATTTAACCCATTTTGTCCCATCATATCAAATGTAGAATACTTACTATACAACATAATTATAAAATAACAATAAGAATATAACTAAACTATAATATCAATCAATGTTACTATGATTTTACATATAATTATCAATAATTTTCCTCAACTAGAATTATTTAGTGGACCACATTTAACAAATTTATGATTCCCAACCACTTTTAATGCATGTGGGTCAATTTTACTGAAATATTTGCAGAATTGAAAACTTTGGTTTTACTAAGTTAAAACCCAAACAACAAACTATTAAAAATTAATGGTAGTGAAAGTGGTAGAAAGCTGTCTGAGTTGGGCTTATTATAAAATCCACTGCCTTAAAATAATTTACTTTTTAAATAAAAATTGGGCACAAATAATAAAGTTTGAAAAACTACAACTATCCTATGAGAAAATCTATAAAAAACAAAAAATCAAAGACAGAGTACGAATAATAAATCCAAAATGAGAAAGATAAAAAACTGATGGACACTAAGGAATGGGTGTGATTCATTATGTTAAAATTTCTACTTCTGTATACTGAAGAACATTTCCATTAAAATAAACAAATAAATAAACAAACAAATAAACCCAAGAATTAGTCTTTTAAAAGGGCAAATATTAACCTAATTTGGGGAGGGAGATGTTAATAAAAATACAAGTGCTCTATATAACAGGTTATTTTAAAAGTGTAAATTATATTTTACACTAATTATATTTGTGTAAAACAAATATAATTAACAAAGTCAACACACTGCGAATAATAAATTATTTTAAGAAGAACTAAATAGCCTGAAAAGAATGTACTACACAAGAAATAAAAATTGAGAAAGCTAACAAAGAATTACTGGCAAAGGGACCGTAGTCAGACTGTATATACAGATACAAAACATTTAAGAGAAAGGAAAGCTAACTTATCATTAAATAAAGTTAGCATACAATAATATGACATTATCTGAACAAAAACACAAAACACAAAACATCAACATCACATATCACAACAAAGAAATAGTATAAACTAATACAACACAGTAACATAATATTATTAATATAGCATTGTATACCATAGATTAACATTATAACAAGAGAATAGCTTCTTCACACTGAGGCTCATTGTGTCTGCCACAGTGCTGAGTACTTAAGATATGTATGTCATTTAAACCTCATAAAAGCTCCCAAAGGTATGACCAACATATTAGAATGTATCATTAAAACATACATAATTCATATATGAATGAAACTAAAAACTCACATAAATAAAATTCAACTTAATAGGAAGCCAGATATTTGTTTACCTATTAAAATGTTTCACTGCATTCCAAAGGCATGTCTGAACACAATTTATAATTCATTTGGACTTGGGAATCATGTATGTTGAACTTGTGAGACAACTCTTCATTTACACATAAGTAACTAATTCACACTTTTCTTAACATATGGCACTTCAAGTTTCTCAGTCTCCAGGGTTGTAAAGAGAATTACATCACTATGTAAGAATAACAACAGGGCAAACTCAAAGAAACTGACAACTGACAGCTAGAGTCAGGAGTAAGAGGCAAGCAGAAGAGAGGTGTGTACCCAATCTTTGGAGGACATTTTAGAACTATGGGGAAAATTTTTTCATTTATCAGTAGAAATAAAAAAACTGAATTATACTAGGAAATTTCCTAATAATAGGGCATTAGTTCAATTAAAAAGAAAAAGCAGA